CTGCCTTGAGATCATTGACAAGATCCTCCCGTGTAGTTCTGGGCTGATTCCTCACCATTCTCATGATCATTGCAACTCCACGAGTTGAGATCTTGCATGGAGCCCCAGGCCGAGGGAGATTGACAGTTCTTTTGTGTTTCTTCCATTTGCGAATAATCGCACCAACTGTTGTCACCTTCTCACCAAGCTGCTTGGCGATGGTCTTGTAGCCCATTCCAGCCATGTGTAGGTCTACAATTTTGTCCCTGACATCCTTGGAGAGCTCTTTGGTCTTGGCCATGGTGGAGAGTTTGGAATCTGATTGATTGATTGCTTCTGTGGACAGGTGTCTTTTATACAGGTAACAAGCTGAGATTAGGAGCACTCCCTTTAAGAGTGTGCTCCTAATCTCAGCTCGTTACCTGTATAAAAGACACCTGGGAGCCAGAAATCTTATAAGCGTCCGGGTTAGAGTCCCGCTCCTTGAAAGCGGCAGCTCTACCCTTTAGCTCAGTGCGGATGTTGCCTGTAATCTATGGCTTCTGGTTGGGTATGTACGTACGGTCACTGTGGGGACGATGTCATCGATGCAGTTATTGATGAAGCCAGTGACTGATGTGGTGTACTCCTCAATGCCATCTGAAGAATCCCGGAACATATTCCTGTCTGTGCTAGCAAAACAGTCCTGTAGCTTAGCATCTGAGTCATCTGACCACTTCCTTATTAACCGAATCACTGGTGCTTCCTGCTTTAGTTTTTGCTTATAAGCAGGAATCAGGAGGATAGAATTATGGTCAGATTTGCCAAATGGAGGGCGAGGGTGAGCTTTCTACGTGTCTCTGTGTGTGGAGTAAAGGTGGTCTAGAGTTTGTTTTCCTCTGGTTGCACATTTAACATGCTGGTAGAAATTAGCTAGGAGAGCTGCCTCTGGATGAGCGTTTTCCTGTTTGCTTATGGCCTTATACAGCTCACTGAGTGCAATCTTATTGCCAGCATCGGTTTGTGGTGGTAAATAGACAGCTACGAAAAATATAGAAGAAAACTCTCTTGGTAAATAGTGTGGTCTACAGCTTATCATGAGATACTCTACCTCAGGCGTGCAAATCGTAGAGACTTCCTTAGTATTAGATTTCGTGCACCAGCTGTTGTTTACAAATATACACAGACTGCCACCCCTTGTCTTACCGGAGTCAGACGTTCTATCCTGCTGATGTAGCGTATCTCCTGCCAGCTGTATGTTACTGGTACTGCTCCTGTGTTGTTAGTAAGAGCATGACACTAGCAACCCCTGAGTTTTGGATACAAGTCCCACTGCGGTCACATATGAAAATGTATAATTTTGTATAAAAGCTTCGGTCTTGTAAATGGTAATGGTCATATAACGGTATTACAGTCCTGTATTGGCCAATGCAATTTTAGGAAAAGCAGTGTGAAACACCCTATCAAAAAGACCCCAGTAACCTAATTTTGGATACTTGTTTACTGTATAGGGAATGCATTACATACAGTACATTTCTGATCTTAATATCAGATTTAAAAAATGTTTTTACTGTGAAGTAAAATAATAATAGTCATAATAGTGCATTACGGCATATATCATACTTTAAGTGTTTATACTTCACAAACATACATTTTCATTATGTAGTCCTCAGAATCTATAGTAGACAAACCAGTATAAAATCTATAGGTTTACCAAATGGATTATCAATTAAGAGCAGTCGGATTAAGTAATAGTATGTATTTTATCAAATGAGGAGAAAATCATATAAAAAGTAATGTGAGCATTGCAATGTGAAACCTATTTCTAGATGAAACATTGATTAAGTTGCGTGAAAAAGTGACTTGTGTCAATTGAAAATGTGCTTAGAGTTTTGAAACAACTGCCTTTTTGATTATCTGTTTTGAGTTTTGTTTACATTTACGTCATTTAGCAGACGCTCTTATCCAGAGCGACTTACAGTTAGTGAGTGCATACATTGTTTTATTTTTCATACTGGCCCCCCGTGGGAATTGACCCAATTGAACCCACAACCCTGGCGTTGCAAACGCCATGCTCTACCAACTCTACATTCCCTCCCCTACCCTGGACGACGCAGGGCCAATTATGCACCGCCCCATGGGTCTCCCGGTCGCGACAGAGCCTGGATTTGAACCAGGATCTCTAGTGGCACAGCTAGCACTGCGATGCAGTGCCTTAGACCACTGCGCCACTCGGGAGGCCAAGCTTGTTATAAGAGTTGTGAAAATTGAACACTTACTTGTAATAATTGCACCAAAGCGATGGAAAAAAACTGTAATAATGGAAGTTAGATAGTTCAAGAACTGTCCTCTCATCCCCTCTCTCTCTCTATCTCTCTCTCAATCTCTTTCAAGGGTTTCAGATAGGAAGAATTATATGACCAGGTTAATGTTTGATGAATGTTCTCATTAAAACAAAGAACATTTGTTTATCTCTTTCACTCTCTCTCTCTCCCTCTTTCTGTTGGTCTGATAGTGTTATACTTTATCGTGTCTGTGCCTTAAATTTAAAATACATGTAAAATCTATGTATTAGGCGATATATCCTACATTCATTATAGACAATCTATATCTACGAGGATTAAGCACATCATTCTTAAAATCTATGTATTAGGCGATAGATGTCTTGTTCGTTATAGACAATCTATATATACGAGGATTAAGCACCTCATTCTGTAGATGGTGATTAATGGTTGATTGGTTATTGTGGCAGTTGGCACCATGCGTTATAGTATATATCTGGTTTCATTCATTCTGATGTGTTCTACTTCTCTGCTGTCTGTCACACTCATTGGGAGATACTACCACAAAAGGTATGTTTAATTATTTTATGTGATTAATAACGTTTTTTCAATAACTTTGGGGCAAATTTCAGATGTAAGTGGTATATTTCAGAACACTCTTAACGGCGAATTCCCACTAAGGACTTATCCCGGTGTTTTACCAAGAAGGCTCAGGCTTTTGAGTTTCCATGGCCTCAGTGGACCTGCTTTGACTTGGGGCAAAGGCCAGGCCACTGGTACTTTTCAGCTAGTATTTACATAACAATGGCTATCTGTGAAAGTGTTTTGTGAAATACCATAAGAACTGTGTGTGTGTCTGTGTGTGTGTGTGTGTGCGTGTGTGTGTGTGCATGTCAGGAGTGCTGGGTTTGACAGTTATGCAGCTTTTCTCTGTAACAGACTGAGACTCAAGTTCCTCACCGTCACTTCAGCCAAGGCGTGAGTTAACACACACCACACACTCAAAGAGGAACTACAGTTGAAGTCGGAAGTTTACATACATCTTAGCCAAATACATTTAAACTCAGTTTTTCACAATTCCTGACATTTAATCCTAGTACAAATTCCCTGTCTTAGGTCAGTTAGGATAACCACTTTATTTTAAGAATGTGAAATGTCAGAATAATAGTAGAGAGAATGATTTATTTCAGCTTTTATTTAGTTCATCACATTCCCAGTGGGTCAGAAGTTTACATACACTCAATTAGTATTTGGTAGCATTGTCTTAAAATTGTTTAACTTGGGACAAACGTTTTGGGTGGCCTTCCACAAGCTTCCCACAATAAGTTAGGTGAATTTTGGCCCATTCCTGCTGACAGAGCTGGTGTAACTGAGTCAGATTTGTAGGCCTCCTTGCTCGCACATGTTTTTTCAGTTGTCCTTAAGCCATTTTGCCACAACTTTGGAAGTATGCTTGGGGTCATTGTCCATTTGGAAGACCATTTGCGACCAAGCTTTAACTTCCTGACTGATGTCTTGAGATGTTGCTTTAATATATCCACATAATTTTCCTTCCTCATGATGCCATCTATTTTGTGAAGTGCACCAGTCCCTCCTGCAGTAAAGCACCCCCACAGCATGATGCTGCCACCTCCGTGCTTCATGGTTGGGATGCTGTTCTTCGGCTTGCCAGCCTCCCCGTTTTTCCTCTAAACATAACTATGGTCATTATGGCCAAACAGTTATATTTTTGTTTCATCAGACCAGAGGACATTTCTCCAAAAAGTACGATCTTTGTCCCCATGTGCAGTTGCAAACCGTAGTCTGGCTTTTAAATGGCGGTTTTGGAGCAGTGGCTTCTTCCTTGCTGAGCAGCCTTTCAGGTTATGTCGATATAGGACGCGTTTTACTGTGTATATAGATAGTTTTGTACCTGTTTCCTCCAGCATCTTCACAAGGTCCTTTGCTGTTGTTCTGGGATTGTTTTGCATTTTTCGCACCAAAGTACGTTAATCTCTAGGAGACAGAACGCGTCTCCTTCCTGAGCGGTATGACGGCTGCGTGGTCCCATGGTGTTTATACTTGCATACTACTGTTTGTACAGATGAACGTGGTACCTTCAGGCGTTTGGAAATTGCTCCCAAGGATGAACCAGACTTGTGGAGGTATACAATATTTTTTCTGAGGTCTTGGCTGATTTCTTTTGATTTTCCCATGATGTCAAGCAAAGAGGCACAGAGTTTGAAGGTAGGCCTTGAAATACAGCCACAGGTACACCTCCAATTGACTCAAATGATGTCAATTAGCCTATCAGAAGCTTCTAAAGCCATGACATCATTTTCTGGAATTTTCCAAGCTGTTTAAAGGCACAGTCAATTTAGTGTATGTAATCTTCTGACCCACTGGAATTGTGATACAGTGAATTATAAGTGAAATAATCTGTCTGTAAACAATTGTTGGAAAAATTACTTGTGTCATGCACAAAGTAGATGTCCTAACCGACTTGCCAAAACGTTTGTTTGTTAACAAGAAATTTGTGGAGTGGTTAAAAACGAGTTTTAATGACTCCAACCTAAGTGTATGTAAACTTCCGACTTCAACTGTATTAACCGTAAAATATATCAGAAATACAGCACACTCACACTTTCTTTCTTTCTTTCTTTCCCTCACTCTCTCTCCCCTCCCCCTCTCTCTCTGCCCCCCGCTCTCTCCCCGGCTCTCTGCTCCCCTCCTCCCTCTCTATCTCCCTCTCTCTAAAGTATCAACCCCAGGACTCTAATAATGGACATTAGACAGTTGATGGACTGCTCTCACAGACCCAACATCACCCAGAGAGAACTCTATAGGTAATATTTGACCACTGTAGTCTATCTGAGCTCTGCCTGTAATGTCTGATAGACTTTCTACAGTAACTGTATGCATCTTTTCTCTCTCTCTCTCTCTCTCTCTCTCTCTCTCTCTCTCTCTCTCTCTCTCTCTCTCTCTCTCTCTCTCTCTCTCTCTCTCTCTCTCTCTCTCTCTCTCTCTCTCATCCCAGGGTGATCCTTCGTTCCTGTTGTAACGCTACAGGTGAGATGATCCTGACCAATCAGAACACTAAGTTGGGCCAGAAGATTCACTATGAGACCAACCAAAAGCTGTTTAAAACAGTCGACAAGAAACTACACAGCATGTTGCCAAATGCCTTACCCTGGAGTAAAGGTTTGTTGGGTCGTTGTGCCGTGGTGGGAAGTGGAGGAATCCTGCAGAACAGCAGCTGTGGAGCGGAGATAGACAGTGCTGACTACATCATCAGGTAACCTTCATCATTAACACCATCACCATCATCATTACCACCATCATCATCAAATAAAATAACATTTTATTTGTCACATGCGCCGAATACAACAGGTGTAGACCTTACAGTGAAATGTTTACTTACAAGCCCTTAACCAACAATGCAGTTTTAAGAAAGAATACCCTAAAAAATTTAAATAAATAAAAGTAACAAATAATTAAAGAGCAGCAGTAAAATAACAGTAGTAAAATAACAATAGCGAGTCTACATACAGGGGGTACCGGCACAGAGTCAATGTGCGGGGGCACTTGTTAGTCGAGGTAATTGAGGTAATATGTACATGTAGGTTGAGTTATTAAGGTGACTATGCATAGATAATAAGCAGAAAGTAGCAGCAGAGTAAAGGGGGGGGGGGGGGGGGGGGGGGGGGCTATGCAAATAGTCTGGGTAGCCATTTGATTAGATGTTCAGGAGTCTCATGGCTTGGGGGTAGAAGCTGTTTAGAAGCCTCTTGGACCTAGATATGGCAATCTGGTACCGCTTGCCATGCACATAGGTGTTCCAGGTGTGAAAGGGCAGTGTGGAGTGCAATAGAGATTGCATCATCTGTGGATCTGTTGGGGCACTATGCAAATTGGAGTGGGTCTGGGGTTTCTGGGATAATGGTGTTGATGTAAGCCATGACCTGCCTTTCAAAGCACTTCATGGCTACAGACATGAGTGCTACGGGTTGGTAGTCATTTAGGCAGGTTACCTTAGTGTTCTTGGGCACAGGGACTATGGTGGTCTGCTTGAAACATGTTGGTATTACAGAGTCAGACAGGTAGAGGTTGATAATGTCAGTGAAGACACTTGCCAGTTGGTCAGCGCATGCTCGGAGTACACGTCCTGGTAAACCGTCTGGCCCTGCAGCCTTGTGAATGTTGACCTGTTTAAAGGTCTTACTCACATCGGCTACGGAGAGCGTGATCACCAACATCTCTCTCTCTCTCTCTCTCTCCCCTCTCCCGCTCTCTCTCTCTCTCTCTCTCTCTCTCCTCTCTCTCTCTCTCTCTCTCTCTCTCTCTCTCTCTCTCTCTCTCTCTCAATTTCAATTTCAATTTAAGGGCTTTATTGGCATGGGAAACGTGTGTTAACATTGCCAAAGCAAGTGAAGTAGATAGTAAACAAAAGTGAAATAAACAACAAATATTAACAGTAAACATTACACTCAGAAGTTTCAAAAGAATAAAGACATTTCAAATGTCATATTATGTATATATACAGTGTTGTAACAATGTGCAAATAGTTAAAGTACAAATGGGAAAATAAATAAACATAAATATGGGTTGTATTTACAATGGTGTTTGTTCTTCACTGGTGCCCTTTTCTCTCTCTCTCTCTCTCTCTCTTCTCTCTCTCTCTCTCTCTCTCTCTCTAGGTTTAACCTGGGTCCGGTCAGCAACAGTGAGGATGTGGGGAACAAAACCCACCTGATGACCATCAACTCCAGTCAGATCAGAACAGGGTGAGAGAGAGAGAGTGATTTAAGCATTGACATGGACTCAGAACATCCAATTTCGTTGTTTCTCTATGAACAATTGTAATTTTGAGAGAAAAATAATAATAAATACTACAACCAGGAAGAATTAAACGGAGAAAACATAATTTGGGAATATATAACAGAAGAATTTTGGAGAAAAAAATCACTGATTTTATAGGTCCCCCCTTAGCGTTTATTAACCATTATCTTACCAGGTATATTGACAGAAAACATAGTGTACTTTCTCTTGTACACTTCGGACCCGGGAAGAGTTGCAGGGGAGAGAAGAGAAGAACGTGACTATTTGAAAGCTGGAAAAAATTAGTAGCTCACGACATGTTTCATTTTTAAAAATTTGCTCTCATGCTAGTAAAGGTTGGAGACCCCTGATATAGTAGTAATGAGTGTGGTAGTAGAATAAGTTGGAGTGGTCTTGTGAAGCAAGGCACACTAATAACCATAAGATATTTACTGTAATTAGCTAGCATTTACCTAGTAAATATTGATATTGTGGTGAGTATATTTTTCTGGAATAATGAAGAAAAATTATAAAAATAGCTTAAGTTAAGATGTTCCCAGCAAACATGGGACGTCCTAAGGACGTTAGACTACGTTCCTATTAGGTCCATTTTAGGGTTTCGGTGAGACGTTATCCCACTGACGTTATGGGATAACTTTTGTGTAGTTCTCTGTAAGTTACCAGGACGTTTCTGAGGAGGACCATGTCAAGACATAGGACATTCTCAGGACTTTTTTTTACCAGTAATTAGGATGTCAAGTGCTGGTCCTTTATGGGGGACCTTAATGTAGTTCCCTGTAAGTTACCAGGACGTCATTGAGGAACATGTTAGGACGTTTGTAAGATGTTCTCAAGACATTTGTTTTACCAGCCGTCAGGATGTCATGTGATGGTCCCAGGTGTCCCAAATCATTATACAGTGAATTTGGAAAGAATTCAGACCCCTTGACTTTTTCCACATTTTATTATGTTACAGCCTTATTCTAAAATTGATTAAATTGTTTTATTTCCTCAGCAATCTACACACAATACCCCATAATGACAAAGCAAAAACAGTGTTTTTGTTGTTGTTGCAAATGTATACAAATATAAAAATGGAAATATTACATTTACATAAGTATTCAGACCCTTTACTCAGTACTTTGTTGAAGCACCTTTGGCAGTGATTATAGCCTTGAGTCTTCTTGGGTATGACGCTATAAGCTTGTCACACCTGTATTTGGGGAGTTTCTCCCATTCTTCTCTGCAGATCCTCTCAAGCTCTGTCAGGTTGGACGGGGAGTGTTGTTGGACGGGGAGTGTTGCTGCACAGCTATTTTCAGGTCTCTCCAGAGATGTTCGATCGGGTTCAAGTCCGGGCTCTGGCTGGGCCACTCAAGGACATTCAGAGACTTGTCCCGAAGCCACACCTGCATTGTCTTGGCTGTGTGCTTAGGGTCGTTGTCCTGTTGGAAGATGAATCTTCACCCCAGTCTGAGGTCCTGAGCGCTCTGGAGCAGGTCTTCATCAAGGATCTCTCTGTACTTTGCTCCATTCATCTTTCCCTTGATCCTGACTAGTTTCCCAGTCCCTGCTGCTGAAAAACATCCCCACAGCATGATGCTGCCACCACCATGCTTCACCGTAGCGATGGTGTCAGGTTTCCCCCAGACGTGACACTTGGCATTCAGGCCAAAGAGTTCAATCTTGGTTTCATCAGACCAGAGAATTTTGTTTCTCATGGTCTGAGAGTCTTTAGGTGCCTTTTGGCAAACTCCAAGCGGGCTGTCATGTGCCTTTTAATGAGGATGGCTTCCATCTGGCCACTACCATAAAGGTCTGATTGGTGGAGTCTTGCAGAGATGGTTGTCCTTCTGGAAGGTTCTCCCATCTCCACAGAGGAACTCTGGAGCTCTGTCAGAGTGACCATTGGGTTCTTGGTCACCTCCCTGACCAAGGCCCTTCTCCCCGATTGCTAAGTTTGGGGCGGGCGGCCAGCTCTAGGAAGAGTCTTGGTGGTTCCAAACTTCTTCCATTTAAGAATGTTGGAGGCCACTGTGTTCTTGGGGACCTTCAATGCTGCAGGATTGTTTTGGTACCTTTCCCTAGATCTGTGTCTCAACACAATCCTGTCTCGGAGCTCTATGGACAATTCCTCGACCTCATGGCTTGGTTTTTGCTCTGACATGCACTGTCAACTGTGGGATCTTATATAGACAGGTGTGTGCCTTTCCAAATCATCTCCAATCGATTGAATTTACCACAGGTGGACTCCAATCAAGTTGTAGAAACATCTCAAGGATGATCAATGAAAACAGGATGCACCTAAGCTCAATTTCGAGTCTCATAGCAAAGCGTCTGAATACTTATGTAAATAAGGTATTTCTGAAAAAGTCAAGGGGTCTGAATACTTTCCGAATACACTGTAGCTACAGCAAGCAAGCTGCATAAAAAAACTGTGCCACTCACCAGATTATGATAATTTGAAAACTAAGTTTGAAAGTTAATCTTGAAAAGGCTCATGCTAACAAATTAGCAACAGCATCCACCTTGAAGTTAATAACACCTGCTGTTGCTGCAGCTGCCTTCGCCATTGTCACACTACTACAACACATGCTTGTTACTAGCGTGTGAAAACTGCCACTGATTCTTTGGTCTTGTGCTCTCATTAGTGAGGTGTGTATGCCTTTGAGAAGGCCTAGACACATCACTTTTATTTTAAACGGTCCCACCCATTGCAAGTCAAAATATGATTGGTTCGTGTCAGTGTTCTGCCATGGCCAGCGAAGAGCCCGGATCTCAATCCCATTGAGCACGTCTGGGACCTGTTGGATCGGAGGGTGAGGGCTAGTGTCACGCCCTGGCTCTGGGGACAATGTTATGTTGAGCCAGGGTGTGTATTCTATGTTTGATTTTCAATGTTGGGCTGAGTGACTCCCAATCAGAGGCAACGAGTGACAGCTGGTTGTCTCTGATTGGGAGCCATATTTAACTATCGGTCTTTTCACTTTGTGTTGTGGTTTCTTGTTCCGTGTTGGTTTGTTTTTGTAACCAAGGACGTCACGTTTCGTTGTTTTGATCGTGTGATCTTGATAAAATAAATATGTTTGTTGTCAGACGTGTTTTCGCTCGGTTGAGCTTCTCTCCACTGCGCTGGAGTTATCGCACCTGTTTGTGCGCTGTTTTTTTTCCATTTCGCCTTCGTGCGTATTTCGCCTTCGGGCAAGTGTTGTCCGTTTGCCGTGTTTCGGCTCAATACAAGTCTATTGGATTATCCGTCTGCGTCCTGCATTTGATTCCGCCACTGCACCTACAGCACGCCTTGACAGAAGAAACCACCATAACAGGACCAAGCAGCGTGAAGAAGAGAGAGGATGGACTTGGGAGCAGTTGAGTAGGAGTCTCGACTGGGCCAAGCCAAGAGAAGAGGAGAGAGGTTGGACTTTGGAGCAGTGGGGTGAGAGTCTGGCGAGAACGATGGAGGCCTGGCCCACGGGGAGGAGAGACCCCCAGAAAATGTTTAGGGGGGGGCTCACGACGTCGGACCAGCAGGAGGCCGCGATAGAGCGGTCCAGCGGGTTGCCAGAGGAGGCCGCCAGGTTACGGGGGCCACTGGTCGAAGAGGGGATGGAGGATGTAGAGGCACGGCGAGAGGTACTGGGGTGTGTTACCAGTCCGGTCCGGCCCGTTCCAGATCCCGAGGTAGAGCCAGTGGTGTGTGTCCCCAGTACGGTCCGGCCTGTTCCAGCCCCTCGCACCAAGTGTACGGTGCGCGTCGCCAGCCCAGCCCGGCCTGTCCCTGCTCCACGCACCAAGCCTACGGGGTGCGTCGCCAGCCCAGTCCGGCCCATCCAAGCTCCCCGCACCAAGCCAGTGGTGTGCGTCATCAGTCCGGCACGGCCCGTGCCTGCTCTCCGCACCAAGTCTGTGGTGCGTTTCGTCAGCCCTGTCCGGCCCGTTCCTGCTCTCCGCACCAAGCCTACGGTGTGCGTCGCCAGCCCAGCCCGGCCAGTCCCTGCTCCACGCACCAAGCCTACGGGGTGCGTCGCCAGCCCAGTCCGGCCCATCCAAGCTCCCCGCACCAAGCCAGTGGTGTGCGTCATCAGTCCGGCACGGCCCGTGCCTGCTCTCCGCACCAAGTCTGTGGTGCGTTTCGTCAGCCCTGTCCGGCCCGTTCCTGCTCTCCGCACCAAGTCTGTGGTGCGCGTCGCCAGCCCAGTCCGGTCCATTCCTGCTCCACGCACCAAGCCAGGGGTGCGTATCGTCAGTCCGGCTCCGGCCAGCGGGGCCAGACCGGACCAGGGGTACTTTGGGGGGTTGGAGAGGGAGTGGGGATCAGGCCCGGAGCCGGATCCGCCGCCAAGGCGGAGTGCCCACCCGGTCCCTCCCCTGTGGGATTTAGTTGGCGCGGTCGGAGTCCGCGCCTTTAGGGGGGGTACTGTCACGCCCTGGCTCTGGGGACAATGTTATTTTGAGCCAGGGTGTGTATTCTATGTTTGATTTTCTATGTTGGGCTGAGTGACTCCCAATCAGAGGCAACGAGTGACAGCTGGTTGTCTCTGATTGGGAGCCATATTTAACTATCGGTCTTTTCACTTTGTGTTGTGGTTTCTTGTTCCGTGTTGGTTTGTTTTTGTAACCAAGGACGTCACGTTTCGTTGTTTTGATCGTGTGATCTTGATAAAATAAATATGTTTGCTTTCAACGCTGCGCCTTGGTCCTCTCCCTCCTTAGACGATCGTGACAGCTAGGGCTATTCCCCCCAGAAATGTCCGGGAACTTGCAGGTGCCTTGGTAGAAGAGTGGGGTAACATCTCACAGCAAGAACTGCAAATCTGGTGCAGTCAATGAGGAGGAGATGCACTGCAGTACTTAATGCAGCTGGTGGCCACACCAGATACTGACTGTTACTTTTGATTTTGACCCCCCTTTTGTTCAGGGACACATTATTCAATTTCTGTTAGTCACATGTCTGTGGAACTTGTTCAGTTTATGTCTCAGTTGTTGAATCTTGTTCTGTTCATACAAATATTTACACATGCTAAGTTTGCTGAAAATAAACGCAATTGACAGTGAGAGGACATTTCTTTATTTGCTGAGTTTAGTAACGAACAAGAACATTGTTTAGAATGTTGCTTTTAGTTGCCTGGCTTGCTAGATTGACATATACATACTAAATGTATTCATTTTTAAATGGATTGGTTTATTGTTGTTAAAATACAGCAGGTATGCTATTTGGACCACCAGGCTGCTGAGGACATGCAGACTGTTGTTTTTGTCTTTATTCTTTTCATAAGGACAAGGACAAGTCTGATGCCAGACAACAACAGAATGTTCATGATGTCACTGCGGCAACTGTCTACAGACATGTTGATAGACCAACTGTAAACCAGCCTTAAGTCAGAAGTAAAGTGGAATGTCTAGTGGTCTGCTGAAGCAAGGCACACTAATAAGTCTTAAGTATCTAGAGTGAAGCAAGTCGCACTAACAGGTGGTTCTCATTCTTAGAATGTGCTCCCCCAGTGATGTAGTTTGTAATTTCTGAAAGTTCCATTGCTGTTAATTCAACAGCGGGTAGTTAGCTTTATGATAGTAGATGATGTGGTTACTACAACAGCTGTATCGTTTGATTGGTAGAATATATTTATGTTCTAATTTCAGATTTGAATTGCAGAGAAGTGGACTAAGATAACTAACTAACTAACTAAATTGTAACTTGTTGGGAAAATGGTGGAAACGGCAGATGTTTCATAAGTTTTGAGGAAAAGGAGTTGATGCGTTAATCAAATCAAATTTTATTTATCACATGCGCCAAATACAGTGTCACGTTCGTTTAATGACGGGTCAGACCAAGGCGCAGCGTGATATACGTACATGTTTATTAACGTAATAAACAACAACGACAAAACAACAAACGAAACGTGAAGTCCAAGGTAGAACACACAACATACCTTACACGGAACAAGATCCCACAACTAGACAGTGCCAATAGGCTGCCTAAGTATGGTCCCCAATCAGAGACAACGAGCGACAGCTGCCTCTGATTTGGAACCACACCGGCCAACATAGATCCACACATACTAGAACGACAAAATAGACAAAGCACAACAAGGAATATACACACCCTGACTCAACATATAAGCGTCCCCTGAGTCAGGGCGTGACAGTACCCCCCCCCCCCCCCCCCCCCCCCCAAAGGTGCGGACTCATAAACATAACAGGGTAGGGGCCGGGTGGGATCCGGCTCGGGGCGTGACGACCTCTCACTCTCCGCCTCCCTGTTGCGCCCCTGGTCTGGTCTGGACCTCGGCGCGCTGCTTCCCCTCTCCTTCCTCCCACGATATGCCAGGCCCTGTCTGGACCCTGGTGTGGGAGACCCCAAACCTGGAGAGGGGCTGATGTCATGGTCTGGACTGGAGCCGCTGACCGGAGCTGGATCAGGCACCGGTGGAGCGGACTGTTCTGGCTCCGGAGTGGAGCCGCTGACCGAAGCTGGATCAGGCACCGGTGGAGCGGACTACTCTGGCGCCGGAGTGGAGCCGCTGACCAGAGCTGGACTGGGCCCAGGTGGAGCGGACTGCTCTGGCTCCGGAGTGGAATAGCTGACCGGCACTGGATCAGGCACCGGTGGAGCGGACTGCTCTGGCTCCGGAGTGGAGCAGCTGACCGGTGCCGGACCAGGCACCGGTGGAACGGGCACGGGCCGTGCCGGACTGGACAAACGCACCACTGGTCTGGTGCGAGGAGAAGGCACGGGCCGGACCGGACTAGGAACACGCACCACTGGCTTGGTGCGAGGGACAGGAACGGGCCGGACCGGACTGGCGACGCACACCACTGGCTTGGTGCGAGGGGCAGGAACAGGCCGGGCCGGACTGGCGACGCGCACCACTGGCTTGGTGCGAGGAGCAGGAACAGGCCGGCTGGCGACGCGCACCACTGGCTTGGTGCGAGGAGCAGGAACAGGCCGGGCCGGGCTGGCGACGCGCACCACTGGCTTGGTGCGAGGAGCAGGAACAGGCCGGGCCGGGCTGGCGACGCGCACCACTGGCTTGGTGCGAGGAGCAGGAACAGGCCGGGCCGGACTGTGGAGGCGGACTGGAGGTCTAGAGCGGAGAGCTGGCACAATCCGTCCTGGCTGGCTGCCCACTTTCGCACTACATGTGCGGGGTGCTGGCACAGGATGCACTGGGCTGTGCACGCGCACTGGCGATACAGTTCGTAGAACTGGCGCAGGATATGCAGGACCGAGGAGGCTTACTGGAGACCAGAAGCGTTGAGCCGGCACACCCCGTCCTGGCTGGATGCCCATCTTCGCACGGCACGTGCGTGGTGCAAGCACAGTACGTAGCTCCGCATAACATGGAGCTTGCCCAGTCATACGCCTCTTCGCGTGAGTTGGCTCTGCTCTAACCCTAGGCTCCGCCAACCACCCCGTGTGCCCCCCCAATTTTTTTTTCTTGGGGCTGCTTCTCGGGCTTCCTCCTCGACCGGCCTCCTCCATGTTGCCGTTGCTCCTCTCCTGCCTGGGGATCTAACTTAGCCCATGGTCCTCTCCCCGCAAATATCTCTTCCCATGACCACAAATCGGCCACCTGTGACATGGCCATTCACTCCGCCTGGGCACGCTGCTTGGTCCTCGTTTGGTGGGATCTTCTGTCACATTCGTTTAATGACGGGTCAGACCAAGGCGCAGCGTGATATACGTACATATTTATTAACGTAATAAACAACAACGACAAAACAACAAACGAAACGTGAAGTCCAAGGTAGAACACACAACATACCTTACACGGAACAAGATCCCACAACTAGACAGTGCCAATAGGCTGCCTAAGTATGGTCCCCAATCAGAGAAAACAAGCGACAGCTGCTTCTGATTGGGAACCACACCGGCCAACATAGATCCACACATACTAGAACGACAACATAGACAAAGCACAACAAGGATTATACACACCCTGACTCAACATATAAGTGTACCCTGAGTCAGGGCGTGACATACAGGTGTAGACCTTACAGCGAAATGCTTACTTACAAGCACTTAACCAACAATTCAGTTATAAGAAAAATAAGTGTTAAGTAAAAAATTGATGAGGTTAGTCAAGGTGATTGAGGTAATATGTACATGTAGAGTTAAAGTGACTATGCATAGATAATAAACAGAGACTTGGCCCTCTGGTACCGCTTGCCGTGTGGTAGCAGAGAGAACAGTCTATGACTAGGGTGGCTGGAGTCTTTGACCATTTTTAGGGCCTTCCTCTGACACCGCCTGTTATAGAGGTCTTGGATGGCAGGAAGCTTGGCCCCAGTGATGTACTGGGCCATACGCATTACCCTCTGTAGTGCCTTGCGGTCGGAGGCCGAGCAGTTGCCATACCAGGCAGTGATGCAACCAGTCAGGATGCACTCGATGGTGCAGCTTTAGAACCTTTTGAGGATCTGTGGACACATGCCAAATCTTTTCTGTCTCCTGAGGGGGAATAGACATTGTCGTGCCCTCTTCACAACTGTCTTGGTGTGTTTGGACCATGTTAGTTTGTTGGTGATGTGGACACCAAGGAACTTGAAGCTCTCAACCTCCTGTGTTCGGTCCTCTTTTTCCTATAGTCCACAATAATCTCCTTTGTCTTGATCACGTTGAGGGAGAGGATGTTATCCTGGCGCCACACGGCCAGGTCTCTGACCTCCTCCCTATAGGCTGTCTCATCATTGTCGGTGATCAGGCCTACCACTGTTGTGTCGTCGGCAAACTTAATGATGGTGTTGGAGTCGTGCCTGGCCATACAGTCATGGGTGAACAGGGAGTACAGGAGGGGACTGAGCACACACCCCTGAGGGGCCCCCATGCTGTTACCTATCCTTACCACCTGGGGGTGGCCAGTTAGGAAGTCCAGGATCCAGTTGCAGAGGGAGATGTTTAGTCCCAGGGTCCTTAGTTTAGTGATGAGCTTTGAGGGCACTATGGTGTTGAAAACTGAGCTGTAGTCAATGAATAACATTCACACGTAGGTGTTCCTTTTGTCCAGGTGGGAAAGGACAGTGTGGAGTGCAATAGAGATTGCATCATCAGTGGATCTGTTGGGGCGGTATGCAAATTGGAGTTGGTCTAGGGTTTCTGGCATAATGCTGTTGATGTGAGCCATGACCAGCCTTTCAAAGGACTTCATGGCTACAGACGTACAGTGAGGGAAAAAAGTATTTGATCCTCTGCTGATTTTGTAAGTTTGCCCACTGACAAAGAAATTATCAGTCTATAATTTTAATGGTAGGTTTATTTGAACAGTGAGAGACAGAATAACAACAAAAAAATCCAGAAAGACGCATGTCAAAAATGTTATAAATTGATTTGCATTTTAATAAAGGAAATAAGTATTTGACCCCTCTGCAAAACATGACTTAGTACTTGGTGGCAAAACCCTTGTTGGCAATCACAGAGGTCAGACGTTTCTTGTAGTTGGCCACCAGGTTTGCACACATCTCAGGAGGGATTTTGTCCCACTCCTCTTTGCAGATCTTCTCCAGTCATTAAGGTTTCGAGGCTGACGTTTGGCAACTCGATCCTTCAGCCCCCTCTACAGATTTTCTATGGGATTAAGGTCTGGAGACTGGCTAGGCCACTCCAGGACCTTAATGTGCTTCTTCTTGAGACACTCCTTTCTTGCCTTGGCCGTGTGTTTTGGGTCATTGTCATTCTGGAATACCCATCCACGACCCATTTTCAAAGCCCTGGCTGAGGGAAGGAGGTTCTCACCCAAGATTTGACGGTACATGGCCCCATCCATCGGCCCTTTGATGCGGTGAAGTTGTCCTGTCCCCTTAAAAGAAAAACACCCACAAAGCATAATGTTTCTACCTCCATGTTTGACGGTGGGGAAGGTGTTCTTGGGGTCATAGGCAGCATTCCTCCTCCTCCAAACACGGCGAGTTGAGTTGATGTCAAAGAGCTCCATTTTGGTCTCATCTGACCACAACACTTGCACCCAGTTCTCCTCTGAATCATTCAGATGTTCATTGGCAAACTTCAGATGGGCCTGTATATGTGCTTTCTTGCGGGCGCTGCACGATTTCAGTCCTTCAAGGCGTAGTGTGTTACCAATTGTTTTCTTGGTGACTATGGTCCCAGCTGCCTTGAGATCATTGACAAGATCCTCCCGTGTAGTTCTGGGCTGATTCCTCACCGTTCTCATGATCATTGCAACTCCACGAGGTGAGATCTTGCATGGAGCCCCAGGCCGGGGGAGATTGACAGTTCTTTTGTGTTTCTTCCATTTGCGAATAATCGCACCAACTGTTGTCACCTTCTCACCAAGCTGCTTGGCGATGGTCTTGTAGCCCATTCCAGCCTTGAGTAGGTCTACAATCTTGTCCCTGACATCCTTGGAGAGCTCTTTGGTCTTGGCCATGGTGGAGAGTTTGGAATCTGATTGATTGATTGCTTCTGTGGACAGGTGTCTTCTATACAGGTAACAAGCTGAGATTAGGAGCACTCCCTTTAAGAGTGTGCTCCTAATCTCAGCTCGTTAACCGTATAAAAGACACCTGGGAGCCAGAAATCTTTCTGATTGAGATGGGGTCAAATATTTATTTCCCTCATTAAAATGCAAATCAATTTATAACATTTTTGACATGCTTTTTTTCTGGATTTTTTTGTTGTTATTTAAGTGCTACAGGTTACCTTAGTGTTCTTGGGCACAGGGACTATGGTGGTCTGCTTGAAACATGTTGGTATTACAGACTCAGTCAGGGACAGGTTGAAAATGTCATTGAAGGCACTTGCCAGTTGGTCAGCGCATCCTCGGAGTACACCTCCTGGTAATCTACCTTGTGAATGTTGACCTGTTTGTGAATGTTGACCCGCTCCTTGAAAGCGGAAGCTCGACCCTTTAGCTCAGTGCGGATGTTGCCTGTAATCCATGGCTTCTGGTTGGGGATGTACGTACAGTCACTGTGGGGACGACATCATCGATGCACTTATTGATGAAGCCAGTGACTGATGTGGTGTACTCCTCAATGCCATCGGAAGAATCCCGGAACATATTCCTGTCTGTGCTAGCAAAACAGTCCTGTAGCTTAGCATCTGCGTCATCTGACCACTTCTTTATTGACCGAGTCACTGGTGCTTCCTGCTTTAGTTTTTGCTTGTAAGCAGGAATCAGGAGGATAGAGTTATGGTCAGATTTGCCAAATGGAGGGCGAGGGAGAGCTTTGTACGGGTCTCTGTGTGTGGAGTAAAGGTGGTCTAGAGTTTTTTTTTCCTCTAGTTGCACATTTAACATGCTGGTAGAAATGAGGTAAAACGGATTTAAGTTTCCCTGCATTAAAGTCCACGGCCACTAGGAGCGCCGCCTCTGCATTTTCCTGTTTTCTTATGGCCTTATACAGCTCATTGAGTGCGGTCTTAGTGCCAGCATCGGTTTGTGGCAGATTAATTAAAACAGCTGCATGTCTTGATTGGTAGTAGATATTTATATTCTGATTTCAGATTCCAATAGCAGAGAGACATACCAAGAGCAGGTAGCATAGCGTAGCATTGGGCCAGTAACCGAAAGGTTGCTGGTTCGAATCCCCGAGCCGTCTAGGCAAAAAATCTGTTGATGTGCCCTTGAGCAAGGCACTTAATCCTAATTGCCCCTGTTAGTCGCTCTGGATAAGAGTGTCTGCAAAATGTAAAGAGTTCATAAGTTGTTGGGAAAGTGGTCAAAATGTAAGTTGTTTTTATATGTTGAGAGAAAATGTAGTTGATGCGGTTACTAAAACAGCTGTATTGTTTGATTGGTAGAAGTTATTAATTATTGATTTCGATATCTCACATGTGGGATTAACTTGAATCTCAAAAGCACGAAGACCCAATTACACACGTCTGTCGGAGAGTGACAGGTCGAGTTGCGAATGAGATATAACCTTCCCCTCATTATAGGGAGCCACTCCTCGCCTTCTGGTCATTCTCAGCTCTCTTCCTCACATAGGGTACTACTCTCTAAGCTCTCCTCAAGACGACTTGATCCCTGCTTTCCTGTTCAACTGTTCGCAGGTGTGCCGCGAGTTTACGCCGCCGAGCGCAGGTTTTTTAGCTCTCGTCTTCTGTGTTGGGTGACTTTACCGAAAGGAAAGTTTTAGCTTCAGGTAAGAATGATCGTATCTGCTTATTCTTCTCTTTGTCTCGTGTGGTAGCTAGCGTCACATGGCTAGCTACTGAGACTTGGCTAGCTTAGCGACAATGCTTAGCTAACCTGGCTAGCTCGCCGTAAGGCTAGCTATCCTACTGACTATCTTTTCTATGTAGAAGGGTAGAATTACTAGCTCTCTCGCTCATTTAGCTCGACCCACACCCCACCGATGCGCGTTGACTAGACCGACCGTCCTAGCTTCACTGCTTATCGATCAAGAGTCACACTTTTGTTCGTCGCAAGACAACAATTGTCTTGCCTTGGAGCTTGTGGCTTTCCACCCACCGCCCTTCTCTTCTAAGGAAGAAGAGCGCTTGCACCGTTTTGTTTCCAGTACGTACGTTGCGCATATACTTGGATAGAACGAGAGCAATGCGCAAGATCAACCACCTCCTTGTGTCCTGGGCACCTCCCTGCAAGGGGAGGTCCCTCCCTCATCAATGGTTATCACGTTGGATTTTGGAAGCTTTATATTATACAGCCCCCGGAGGGCCTGAGGGCTCATTCCACCAGAGGTATGGCTACCTCTTGGGCACTGTTCAAGGGCATCTCCTTACAGGAGATTTGCGATGCGGCTTGTTGGACATCCCCTCATACTTTTATGAGGTTCTACTGGCTAGAGTTTTTAACAATTGGAGCTTCAGAATGTTGAAGAAATCCCATTAAAGCAGATTTAGGTTTTTCAGGAGGTCAAAAATGGTTTCAAAAAGTATACCAGCAACCTATTCCAGACCAGTTTGCACGTTTTAAAGTTTGAATGGTGTTTCTATACTACTATATCAACCTTATTACTTTGGATTGTCGGGCAGTTAGATCACACATTTCATCAGAAAAAACTACACTTGGACTACTACACTTTTATACACTCTCCCACTAGAATACCACAGTATATGCAAACTGTTATAATAGAGCACAGAAGACAATGAGACATTGTAGAAGTTTTAAATAAATTAACAACATATTTGGACGACAGACGGAGGTTCATGATGTCCTCTCTGGGTAGGCATAGGCTACCTTGTAGTTACCATTTAATTTATAAGGTTTTTGGGAAAGCCTTTCCATCTCTGCCAAAATAAGGTTTCATTAGCATCATCGCTAATGGCTACACAAAATGTAGACATACGCGTGCACCACACACACACACACAGACGGGCATTCCTGTGCTGTTTCAGAAAGTTGCAGGAAAATATGAATCACTGATGCTGACTGACTGAACTGAATAGGCTACCCAACTCTCATTCAAATTAAAATGTCTAAACTACAGTTGTTGCGTGTGAAAACTGAGAGATGCTCTGTTGCCTTGGCTGTAGCTGCTTTCTTGGTGTTCACAATTCTTCATCATCATTACTCTATTGTTCTAAATTCAATCACCCTCTTCACCCTCCTCATAATTTTTGTCTGCGCTCCCCCATGCACTCCACTGCCTGTTTGAGTATCCATAGCAACAGCTCCGTTTGGACTGCTCAATGGCGAGACGAGAGAGCTGTTAGCTGATGTTAGCTAGCTACTTTTTGTCACTCTAAACTCTGACAAACAGCTGTAACTTTTGATTGGTAGTAGATAATTCTGTTCTGATTCCAGATTTGAATAGCAGAGAAGATGTCATAACCTCTAACGTATTGTTTAACTTGTTGGGAAAGTGGTAAAAATGTCAGTTGTTTATGAAAGATTTGAGAAAATGTTGTTGACGCAGTTAATAAACAGTTATATCGTTTGATTGGTAGAATACATTTTTGTTCCTATGTCAGATTTGAAAAGCAGAGAAGAAGAGGAAGATTTCATACGCTCTAACCTTTTGTCTAAGTTGTTGTCAAAGTGGTAAAAGTAGGTGATTTGTGTCAAAAGTTTTATTGTTGCATTTACAGTGAATAGAATGTTGTAAGTGATGATGTCACAATAGGCCCTTTAGAATGTTGAGGAAATCCCATGAAAGTTGACGGAGGACAAAAAGGACAAAAAGTGTAATAGTTTAACAAGTATAAAAAATATAAAAAAGGTGTATGCAAGCACACTATTCCAGATCAGTCTAAACAGTTTAATGTTTGAACAGAGTTTCTAGCTGAAACAGTGTAAGAGGAGAAATGTGCAGAATAATAATAATAATAATAATAACTAGATGGTACACATTGTATCATGCTTAGAATGTGGTCCTCCATTGTTATAACTTGAAAGTTCTGAAAAGTTCCATGGCAGCTCATTCAACAGTGGGCAGTTGTTTGTAAAAGTTGTAACAGTTGTTGATGCGGTTACTAAAATAGCTGTATCGTTTGATCCGTAGACCATATGTTTGTTCCCATGTCAGAATTGAATAGCAGAGAAGTAGATGAAGATGTCATACCCTCTAACCTTTTGTCTAACTTGTTGGAAAAGTGGTCAAAGTAGCTGATTTGTGTCCAAAATTACATTGTTTTACAGTGAATGTTGGATGTCATAGTGTCACAATGGGCCCTTTAGAATGCTGAGGAAATGCCATGAAAGTGGATGGAGGACAAAAAGGAGGACAAAAAGTTTAATACACTATATATACAAAAGTATGTGGACACCTTCAAATTAGTGGATTTAGCAATTTCAGCCAACCCATTACTGACAAGTGTATAATATCGAGCACACAGCCATGCAATCTCATAGACAAACATTGGCAGTAGTATGGCAATGTTCAACGTGGCACCATCATGTGGTTGGTCCTGTGTTCTCTCTGGCGTCCTTTCCCCCTTGCAGCAGATGTGGATGCGGGTGCGTTTGCACGCTCGGCCCATTTCTTCCGCAGTCAACCATGTGGTGTGCATTTTTGTATTTGAAAAGGTACGGCGTTAAGTGAGTGAGAGGGGAAATGGTTGCATATCCCAGAGCCGACCGGGGGTCTATGAACAGGGGTAGTGAGAGAGAGAGCTTTCAATTTTGTGTAGATGAGGGATATACATTTTTAAATATAGTATACATCTAATCTAATTATTCATTGTCCTATCATGATGGAAAGATCCCTAACCCTATAACCTGGACACCCACCTGAGCGACCCATACACCAAAGAGAAGTTCCCATCTATTTTATGGACCTGCTGTGAATATGCAGCCTAAACAGAGAAATAAATGCGGTCAGAGACCTACTTGAGCAGCACCGCCCCCTCAAGATTCTGAGCCTGCCTGGCAGGGTTGGTCCTACAAAGCCAGAGCCCCCTGATGGGAGAGCAAAATATACAAGGAAATTCTCAAAGCTGCTAATGAGAACCATGACGACCTTTTACCTAGCCGGTGGGGATTCCGGTGGGGTACGCCCACCCAGGTAGTGGCAGTGCTGGCAACACTGGCTGCAGTAACCCATGGGGAGGGGGTCACACTCGGACAATCAGAGAGGGGGTTTATCATTGTGGCCCAGGTGGCACAAAACAATCAAAGGTCTGACCGCATGGAGATGCTTGGGAAAATGGTTACAACAGGGGATCAGAGTGTTTGTGTCTCAGGTGAAGAGGGTGGATCTGATCTCCATCACCTAGGACTTGACATAGATTAAGTAGATTAATCAAATCTCACATTGTTATCAATTTCTGCTCAATCTGCATGCTTTCTCAATCAGCTTTAACTGTATGTGCACTCGTAGATCAAGTTATTTCTCGAGTTGGGCTCTGGGATATAACAGCCGTTGAGTATCGGATTTTATGGTGGATTGTGGAGGAGGGGGGTTGAGTGTGTTGGAGTATGTGAGTATGTGCGTGTGTGCTGGTCTGGCATCTGTTGTGGGGGGGGTGGGGATGTTGGGGGGGGGGGGGGTATGGGATGGACCGCGGGAATTATTTGCTAGGATAATAATTGCTTGTCAATGAATTAAATGTAATACAATGGCAATCCTGGTTATATGTTAGAATCCTATGCGTGAACTGCCGACATTATTACGCATATTAATTGATAATGATGGAAAATAGGATATGCATAATAAAAAAATTAATAATAGTTATATAGATATATATATATATATAGAGGTAAAAGCATTGGAAATGCTTTTGGCGGTTAACCTGCTTCTGTTTTGTGGGTGGCACTGTGTGCTGTTATCGATGGATGGGTCCTGGCCTCTCGGGGCCTTAGGGATACGGAGGGACGTGGGTGGGATGCTGATCACTGGGATGACGGCTCAACTTGGGATGGGCAGGGGCTTTAGCGGGGGAATTAGTGGAGAACAATTGAAGGGTTACTCCGTAGCAATGCAAATATCACGGTACAGCTATATGGACACTCAATCATTACGCTATTTTTTATTGATAAATTTACAAACATATATAATGATAAATAGACTTGAATAATAAATAAACTTGAAAAAAAATAAACTTGTATCTCATTATGGTGTATGGTGAAATAAGTATAGCCAGTTATAATTGTAATGGCTTAGCTGATAATAACAAAAGAAGAACAATATTTACATGGCTCAAAGAGAAGGAATATAATATCTATTGTATACAGGAAACTCATTCAACAATTCGAGATGAAGTAGCGTGGAAAAAAGAATGGGGGGGGGGGAAATATACTTCTCCCATGGGCAAAGAAATTCAAAAGGGGTGATGATATTAATTAATAGTAATTTCGATCCAAATGTGCAAATTGTCCAAATAGATACGCAAGGTAGATGGATTATTTTAAATATGGTATTGGACCATAAACAGATATGGCTCATTAACCTTTACGGACCAAATAATGATGATCCACAATTCTTTGACAATATATATAATAAATTATCAAGCCTGCAAGCAACTCAAGACAATATTATTATGGTGGGGGATTATAATACTGTTTTAAATAGCTCAATGGACCGAAAAGGAAATCACACCACAAACAATCACCCACATGCTCTTAAGGAAATTGTGAATGTCATGGATACATTAGAACTAGTAGATATATGGAGGCTTAAATATGCTGATCTAGTGAGATATACATGGCGGAGACTGAATCAAGCTAGTCGTCTTGACTTCTTTCTTATCTCATTCTCGTTGGCACCAAAAGTAAAAAAAGTGTTGATAGGGGACAGAATGCGGTCGGACCATCATATAATAGGCATATACATTACTCTGACTGAATTTCCACGTGGGCGAGGATATTGGAAATTTAATCAAAGCCTATTAGATGATAATTTATTTATAATTAGAACAAAGGAATTTATAACTGACTTTTTCCAACATAACATAGGTACAGCGAATCCCCTTATTGTATGGGACACCTTTAAATGTGCCTTTAGAGGCCATGCAATTCAGTACTCATCTCGAAAACAAAAGCAATTTAGGTCAAAAGAGTTTATACTAAGAAAGGAAATAGAAAGTCTAACAGAACAGATAGATGGCAATAAAAACTGTAACATAGAGGCTCAGAATAAATTAGAGGAAAAACAAAAAGAAATGGAAAAACTTATTCAAGAAAGATCAAGTGTAATATATTATAAAAATAAAGCAAACTGGATGGAATATGGGGAAAAATGCACAAAATTCTTTTTTAATCTTCAACATAGGAATGCTACCAAAAATAACTTAATGAAACTAGTTACAATTGACGGAGTCACCCATAATTCACCTAATGATATTTTGAAGGAAGAAACAAAGTATTTTAAGCATATGTTTTCTTTTCAGTCGCCTCCATCTCCTCTAACTGAAGCTAATTGTAGAGATTTTTTTTCTATTGATAATGTCAAATTAACAGCCACACAGAAAGACTCATGTGAAGGTGAAATTACAGAGGAGGAACTTCTGGATGCAATTAAAGACTTTAAGTCGGGGAAAACTCCAGGGTTGGATGGCATACCAATCGAGGTATACCAAACCTTTTTTGATATACTAAGAGGACTGTTATTAGCATGTTTTAACCACTCCTATGTAAATGGTAGATTATCTGACACTCAAGAAGAAGTTCTGATCTCATTATTACTGAAACAGGATACAAGTGGAAAATATAAAGATCCAGTCCATTTACAAAATTGGAGGCCCCTTACACTTCAGTGTTGTGATGCAAAAATCCTAGCAAAATGTATAGCGCATAGAATTAAAAAGGTATTGTCGAATATTATTCATTCTAATCAGACAGGTTTTTTACATGGAAGATACATTGGAGATAATATAAGGCAAGTATTGGAAACTGTCACACCCTGGTTCTGGGACTCATTATGTTGAGCCAGGGTGTGTGCATTCTATGTGTTCCTTTACGGTCATTGTTACTGAGGACTTTACGAATCGTCTATTTGTTTTGGGTTTTGCACTTTAATATAATAAAGTCAATCATGTTCGCTCAACACGCTGCGTATTGGTCTACTCCTTTTGAAGACGATCGTGACAGAAAAACCCACCATACAACGACCAAGCAGCGTGTCCAGGAACAGACACAGGAGGTGACTCTGGTGGATGTCCTCCTCGGTTGGGGGCAGATTACCGAGGAGGAGGCCGTCCGGTACCGGAGGGCTATGAAGGGGGAGACCCAGGCAGAAGAGGAGCAGCGGCGTCAGCAGTGGCATCGTCGGACGGACGAGAGGCACCCCCAATAATTTTTTAGGGGGGGGCACAGGGCATGGACGACGGGGCTGACGGAGGCAGAGAAGGGGCGGATTCAAAAGGCCACCAGGTTACGGGGGCCACTGGTCAAAGTAGGGAAAGGAGGTTTAGAGGCACGGCGAGAGGTACTGGGGTGTGTTACCAGTCCGGTCCGGCCCGTTCCAGTTCCCGGAGTAGAGCCAGTGGTGTGTGTCCCCAGTACGGTCCGGCCTGTTACGGCCCCTCGCACCAAATGGACGGTGCGCGTCTCCAGCCCGGTTCGGCCTGTTCCTGCCTCTCGCACCAAACCTACGGTGTGCGTCGACAGCCCTGCCCGGCCTGTTCCTGCTCTACGCACCAAGGCTACGGTGTGCGTCGACAGCCCTGCCCGGCCTGTTCCTGCTCTACGCACCAAGGCTACGGTGTGCGTCGACAGCCCTGCCCGGCCTGTTCCTGCTCTACGCACCAAGGCTACGGTGTGCGTCGACAGCCCTGCCCGGCCTGTTCCTGCTCTACGCACCAAGGCTACGGTGTGCGTCGACAGCCCTGCCCGGCCTGTTCCTGCTAAACGCACCAAGTCTACGGTGTGCGTCGCCAGCCCGGTCCGGCCTGTTCCTGCCACCCGCACCAAGTCTACGGTGCGCGTCGCCAGCCCGACCCGGCCTGTTCCTGCCACTCGCACCAAACCTACGGTGCGCGTCGCCAGCCCGGTCCGGCCTGTTCCTGCCACCCGCACCAAGTCTACGGTGTGCGTCGCCAGCCCGACCCGGCCTGTTCCTGCCACTCGCACCAGACCTACGGTGCGCGTCGCCAGGCCGACCCGGCCTGTTCCTGCCACTCGCACCAAGCCTACGGTGCGCGTCGCCAGCCCGGTCCGGCCTGTTCCTGCCACTCGCACTAAGCCAGGGGTGCGAGTCGTCAGCCTGGTAAGGCCCGTTCCTCCTCCACGCACCAAGCCTACGGGGTGCGTCGTCAGCCCTGTCCGGCTCGTTCCTGCCCTCCGCACCAGGTCTGTGGTGCGCGTCGCCAGCCCATTCCGGTCCATTCCTGTTCCACGCACCAAGCCAGGGGCGCGTGTCGTCAGTCCGGCTCCGGCCAGCGGGGCTAGACAGGACCAGGGGTACTGTGGGGGGTGTATCGGAGGGTGGTGGTCTAGGCCGGAGCCAGAACCGCCACCGAGGAGGTATGCCCGCCCAGCCCTCCCCTGTTTGGGGGTTTTGAGGCGCGGTCGCAGTCCGCGCCTTTAGGGGGGGGTACTGTCACACCCTGGTTCTGGGACTCATTATGTTGAGCCAGGGTGTGTGCATTCTATGTGTTCCTTTACGGTCATTGTTACTGAGGACTTTACGAATCGTCTATTTGTTTTGGGTTTTGCACTTTAATATAATAAAGTCAATCATGTTCGCTCAACACGCTGCGTATTGGTCTACTCCTTTTGAAGACGATCGTGACAGAAACAATAGAACACTATGGAAAATATGGGAAACCAGGCCTGCTATTCATAGCAGACTTCGAAAAGGCATTTGATAAAGTTCGACTGGAATTTATATATAAATGCCTGGAGCATTTCAATTTTGGAAAATCTCTTATAAAATGGGTCAAAATCATGTATAGTAACCCTAGGTGTAAAATAGTAAATAATGGCTATTTCTCAGAAAGTTTTAAACTATCAAGAGGAGTGAAACAAGGTTGTCCACTATCGGCATATCTATTTATTGTGGCCATCGAGATGTTAGCTATTAAAATCAGATCCAATAATAATATCAGGGGATTAGAAATACAGGGCTTAAAAACAAAGGTGTCATTGTACGCAGATGATTCATGTTTTCTTTTAGATCCACAACTTGAATCCCTCCACAGCCTCATAGAGGATCTAGATACATTTTCTAACCTCTCTGGATTAAAACCAAATTATGACAAATGTACTATATTACGTATTGGATCACTAAAAAATAAAAATTTTACATTACCATGTAGTTTACCAATAAAATGGTCTGATGGTGATGTGGATATACTCGGAATACATATCCCAAAGGAAATAAATAATCTCACTTCAATAAATTTTAATAGAAAGTTAGCAAAAATAGATAAGATCTTACTACCATGGAAAGGAAAATACCTGTCAATTTGTGGAAAAATCACCCTGATTAACTCTTTAGTATTATCCCAGTTTACCTATTTGCTTATGGTCTTGCCTACGCCTAGCAAACAGTTTTTTAAAATATATGAGAAAAAAATATTCAATTTTATTTGGAACGGCAAGCCAGACAAAATTAAAAGAGCATATTTATATAATGAATATGAATTCGGAGGACAGAAATTATTAAATATTAAAGCATTAGACCTATCACTAAAATCTTCAGTCATCCAAAAGTTATACTTAAATCCGAACTGGTTCTCAAGCAAATTAGTAAGATTGTCTCACCCACTGTTCAAGAAAGGCCTTTTTCCCTTTATTCAGATTACAATCTCTCACTTTCAGTTATTTGAAAAGGAAATAATCTCCCAAATGTCACTATTTCTAAAACAAGCCATAGAAAGTTGGTTGCAATTTCAATTTAATCCTCCAGAAACGACAGAACAAATAATGCAACAAATATTGTGGTTAAATTCAAATATACTAATTGACAAAAAACCTTTATTTTTTGACAGAATGTTTAAAAAAGGTATAATCTTCGTAAATGATATCATCGGTAGGACTGGTGGAGTTATGTCGCACATGCAGCTAACAAAAACATATGGAAATGTCTGCTCTACCCAAAATTACAACCAAATAATTGCAGCCTTACCGCAAAAGTAGAAGAGGAAAGTTGAAGGGGGAGAAAGTAAGGAACTTGTCTGTCGGCCTTGCATTAAAGAACATAATTGGTTAAGGAAAACTGTGATAAATAAAAAAGTATATCAGTTTCACTTAAGGACCAAAGGATTGACAGCCGTCCCATATAGATTGCAAAATAGTTGGGAAGAGATCTTTGACGTACCAATCCCATGGCATAGTGTTTATGAACTGACACGCAAAACGACACCGGATTCAAAAATTAGAATCTTTCAATTTAAATTATTATATATAATTCTTGCTACCAATAGAATGTTATTTATATGGGGGATACAATCTTCCCAGCTCTGCAGATTTTGCTGTGAAGAGATAGAATCATTAGATCATTTGTTTTGGTTCTGTCCATTTGTAGCTTGTTTTTGGACACAGGTCCAGGAATGGCTAAAGGATTGCAATATTTACCTGGAACTAACCTTGCAGATAGCATTACTGGGTGATCTGAAAAGTCATAGTCAATCAATCAATAATATAATGATACTTTTAGCAAAAATGTTTATTTTTAATTCACAATCTGTAGAAGCAATGAGAATAGAAAGGTTCAGAACTTTTGTAAAACATCACAGTATGGTTGAAATATATATGGCAAATAGAAATCCTATATGGATGGTGTTAAGAGATAGATGGGAGGTATTGAATAGAGTTGAAGGATGGGACTAATAACAAATAACAACAAATAATAACAAAGATAGCTAATAATGTAAGCATACTGTGTCCATAATAAGTATATAGGTTGTATGTTGGGAGCTTTTGGGAAAGAGCACAGTTAGAAAGATATGGCATTTAGAAGCAAACCGGATGGACATCATGAAAATGATCGGAGAGGTTGAGAGTAGAAGAAGTTCAGGAGCAAAAAAAAATAATTAATAAATATATATATATATATATATATATATATATGGATATAGAATTATTGTAAAATTAACTCTGTCCATAAGGTGTAGATAGTAATTATAGACCGGAAGTAGAGGCCTGGGCGTTGTTGTTCACTAATTTACTCCAAGTAGGGAAAGGATGGTGGGGTTGAAAAGTAATAAAGGGGAATATATATATATAGAAAATTTAAAAAACATGGGGGATTGGAAGTGATGCAGACAATTACATTGATAGAAGATACAATCTATCTGCAATATTAAGCTGATCCATCCCCCCAGAAAAAAATAAATTAAATTAAAAAAAACAAAAAAAACAACAACAAAAAACACAGGGCTACTTCACTTCCACCTCACCGGCCATACGACTGCGCCATTGACCTCCAGCCAGGAGCCCCTCTCCCTAACAGTCGCCTGTACAATCTCTCCCGCCCGGAGACGGAGGCTATGGAGAACTACATACGGGACTCCTTGGCGGCAGGTATTATTCGTCCTTCCTCGTCACCTGTAGGAGCGGGATTCTTTTTTGTGGGAAAGAAGGATAAGACCCTCAGACCCTGTATTGATTACCGTGGACTTAACAACATCACCATTAAGAACAAGTATTCTCTGCCTTTGATTAATTCTGCTTTTCCCCTCCTTCATGGTGCTACCATCTTTACGAAACTGGATCTACGAAATGCGTATCACCTGGTGCGCATTCGTAAAGGTGACTGTCTTCAACACACCCTTGGGACATTTTGAGTATCTGGTCATGCCTTTTGGTTTGTCTAATGCCCCTGCTGTTTTTCAGGCACTCGTGAATGATGTCCTTAGGGACATGTTGAATCGTTTTGTTTTTGTCTATCTGGATGATATCCTGATTTTCTCAGAGTCCTCCCAGGAACATGAACTGCATGTGCGCCAGGTGTTGCAAAGGTTGTTGGAGAACAAACTATTTGTGAAGATGGAGAAATGTGAATTTCATGTGTCTGAGACCTATTTTTTGGGTTACATAATCGCTCAGGGGGAGTTGCGGATGGACCCAGCTAAGATCTCTGCAGTCACGGACTGGCCAGCCCCCTCCACCCGCAAACAACTTCAATGATTCCTGGGGTTTGCGAACTTCTACAGGAGGTTCATCAAGGACTACAGCCGCATTGCGGCACCACTCACCGCTCTCACCTCCATCTCACTACCGTTCGCTTGGAATGAAGGGGCCGAATCAGCGTTCGAAGAACTGAAACATCGCTTCGCCTCGGCTCCCATTCTGATGCAGCCGGACCCTGACCGCCAGTTTGTCGTGGAGGTGGATGCATCCGACACTGGGGTAGGTGCGGTGTTGTCACAACGTTCTCCTGAAGATAACAAACTGCATCCCTGTGCTTTTCTTTCACGGAAGCTTTCTCAGGCAGAGAGGAATTATGATGTTGGCAATCGTGAACTGCTCGCCGTTAAGCTGGCTCTCGAGGAGTGGCGGCATTGGTTGGAGGGGGCGGAACAACCCTTCATCGTTTGGACGGATCACAAGAATCTGGCATACATCCAGTCAGCTAAGCAGCTCAATCCCCGTCAAGCCAGGTGGGCACTATTTTTTGGGAGATTCAATTTTTCTCTGTCTTACCGTCCTGGGTCACGCAACGTCAAGCCTGACGCCCTGTCTCGTGTTCATTCTGCTGTTGATACTGGTAGTAACCCTGAACCCATCTTGCCTCCTACCTGCAGTATTGCGGCCATTACATGTGACATCGAAGGGATGGTTAGACAGGCTCAACATCATCAAGCTGACCCTGGGAGCGGTCCTCCTAACCGGTTGTTTGTCCCTGAGTCTGTTCGCTCCCAGGTACTTCAGTGGGCTCACTCGTCTCCCCTTACCTGTCACCCTGGAGTTACTCGGACCCTTGACTTTGTGCGACGGAAGTTCTGGTGGCCCAGGATGGAGGCGGACACTCGAGCCTTCATTGCTGCTTGTACGGTATGTGCACGAAGTAAGAACTCCACCCAGGCCAGCGCTGGTCATCTACGACCTCTGCCAATACCCAGCCGGCCCTGGTCCCACATTGCTTTGGATTTTGTTACTGGACTTCCCCCCTCGTCTGGAAAGACTGTCATTCTTACTGTGATTGATCGTTTTTCTAAGTTTGCTCATTTTTTGGTCCTACCTAAACTGCCCACTGCCAGAGAGACGGCTGATATTTTGGTTGAACATGTGTTCCGCTCTCATGGTCTGCCCACTGATATTGTCTCTGACAGGGGTCCCCAGTTTGTCTCCCAGGTATGGAAAGCTTTCTGTAAAGCTTTGGGCATCACATCCAGCCTGTCCTCTGGATATCACCCCCAGACCAACGGGCAAGCCGAGAGAGCGAACCAGGAGATGGAGACCGCTCTCCGCTGTGTCACAGGGTCTAACCCTGGGTCTTGGAGCTCCATGCTCCCCTGGGTGGAATATGCTCATAACACCTTGACTAACGCTTCCTCTGGTTTGTCTCCCTTTCTGTGTGCTCTGGGTTATCAACCTCCCTTGTTCCCTTCTCAAGAGAGGGAACTGGTGGTACCCTTGGTGCAGTCCCACATGCGCCGCTGCTTCAAGGTCTGGAGGAAGGCCAGGGTAGCTCTGTCCCGAGCTTCGTCGTACATGCAGAGGCAAGCCAACCGTCACCGGTCCCAGGCTCCCGGTTACTCTCCTGGTCAAGAGGTATGGCTTAAGTCACGTGATCTTCCATTGAAAGTAGAATCTAAGAAGATGGCGCCGCGTTTTATAGGACCGTTCAAGATACTGTCTATTGTTAACCCCTGCGCGGTTAAACTACAGCTTCCTGCCTCCCTACGGGTTCATTCCACTTTTCATGTGTCCCAGATCAAGCCTGTGTCTGTCAGCCCTCTGTGCCCGCCCTCTCGTCCCCCTCCTCCGCCCAGGATCGTGGGTGGGGGTCCTGTCTACACTGTCCGGCGACTTCTGGATGTTCGCCGCCGGGGTCGTGGTTTCCATTACCTGGTGGATTGGGAGGGTTATGGTCCTGAGGAACGTTCCTGGGTGCCCAGGAGCTTCATTGTGGATCCTGCTCTGGTCCGTGAATTTCATCGGTTACATCCCGATAAACCCTGTCGGCCGCCAGGTGGCGTCCGTAGAGGGGGGGGTACTGTTAGGCCTACTGCTGCTAGGGGTAGCTCTCTCTCTGCTCTTCCCCTCCCCTCTGTTTGTCCTTGATTGCAGGAGTGAAGTCTGGTGTGCGGGAGTCAGGGTTCCAGCTGCAGCTCATTCACCATAATCACCTCAGCCTTTAAGACCCGGTCAAACTTGCCACTCATCGTCAGATCATAGTCAAGACGACCATGTTAGTCTCGCTGCCGACTCAACCTGTTGTTTTCGCTCTTTGTGTTTTTTGGCCTGTTCTATTTACTTTTCTCCTGTGCCACAGATTATTGGAACCTGACTCCTGCCTCCGCTTCACTCCTGCCACCACCATCCTGCTTTCCACTACCGGACCTCCCTTTTGGACTCACCACGGACACTAGGACATTACGGTACCACACCTGCTCTGACCTGGATCTGTTACCCTCCCTGTAACCTGGACTTGCTCTTCCCCTATTATTGGAAACCTGGACAAATTGAACATTGTAAATAAACCTGTTAAACCTTCTCTGGCTCGGTGTGATTGTCTGCATTTGGGTTCAAATCCAGTTTAATCATGACAGTTTGTCGTAGCCGGCCGCGACCGGGAGACCCATTGGGCGGAGCACAATTGGCCCAGCGTCGTCCAGGGTAGGGGAGAGAATGGCTGGGATATAGCTCAGTTGGTAGAGCATGGCGTTTGCAACGCCAGGGTTGTGGGTTCGATTCCCACGGGGGGCCAGTATGAAAAATATAACAAATAATGTATGCACTCACTAATTGTAAGTCGCTCTGGATAAGAGCATCTGCTAAATGACTAAAATGTAAATGTAAAATGTTTGTCGAGATCGGTGTGGAAGAACTTGACTGGCCTGCACAGAGCCCTGACCTCAACCCCATCGAACACCTTTGGGATGAATTGGAACGCCAACTGCGAACCTAATCGCCCAACATCAGTGCCCGACCTCACTAATGCTCTTGTGGCTGAATGGAAGAAAGTCCCCACAGCAATGTTCCAACATCTAGTGGAAAGCCTTCCCAGAAGAGTGGAGGCTGTTATAGCAGCAAAGGGGGGACCAACTCCATATTAATGACCATGATTTTGGAATGAGATGTTCGACGAGCAAGTGTCCACATACTTTTGGTCATGTAGTGTAGTTTAAAAAGTTTAAAATATATAAAAAAAGTAAAATGTAAGCATACTATTCTAGATCAGTCTACGCGTTTTAAAGTTTGAACGGCATTTCTAGAAGAAGAAGAAGAAGAAGAAGAATGACATCGAAGATTTCACTCTGGACTTCTGCTTTGCAAGTCCCACCTAGTACGAATAATAATAACTAAATGATAATTCTACATGAAGTAGAATTGATGGGACTTGCTTTAACTCTTTAAAAGTATTTTTGTGGTAGTGGTAGAAGTAAAAAATGTGTTACTGTACTATTTAAAGCAAAGTACTTACATATTGTCAAAGTTAAATTTAGTAAAATAATTGGTCTGATTACTTTGATAGATTACTACATCAACCTTATTAATTTGGATTATGGGTCAGTTAGATCCCAAAAATGTCTAAAGTAGGATCAAGTGGACAACACTCTTAGGAAAGCAAATCAGCTCTGAATCATGCATGCTGTGGGTTTCAGATAAATAGATGCACAATTTACTCTTGTAAAACATTCAGTATAAATTAACTTTAGTTTGATGATTATGTAATGATTAGAATGTTTTAGGCTATTATTTAGGGAGAGAAATGTGAAGGTGTGTCTAGTGATTTTAAAGTATTTTTGTGATAGTTGAAGATTGATGTAGAATAGGTTCGTATGAAGACCTACTGGTAGCTAGCTGTAGTTCTAATAAATAAACTCTTTAGGTGATCCCTGAAAAGTAAATTTCCTGAAGAAAATGTGGTGTGCTTGCTAACTTTATTTAAAGTATGTATGGTTTTGAAATAAGTTATAGTAGTGGTAGTGACTGGTTATAGTTGAAAAAGTAGGTAGATTAAAATATTGATTGATTTATTGATTGATTGGTTGGTTGATAGGATGGGATAGGCTAGCCTGAACATGTGGATGTTGATTTGGTGTCTCTAGCTTAAAAGGTTCAAGAGTTACAATTATAGTTGGTAGGTATTATATTGTAATTTATGCACATTTAAGTAGTTATAATTTATAGTGCACACCAGAGCTAGACCAGAGCTAGTGCGAACCAGAGCTAACTAGCTACGCCCAGGACCAGAGCTGGACAAGAGCTTGTGCAGACCAGAGCAGTAGTTGTGGTCACTAGTTATGGTCAGTAGATATGGTCAGTAGTTGTGCAGTTGCAGTCAGTAGTTGTGTTCAGTAGTTGTGGTCAGTAGTTGTGGTCAGTAGTTGTGTGGTTGTTGAAGGCTATTTGGGCCCTACAGTACGGACGTGGTCAGTAGTTGTGGCCAGTAGTTGTGTGGTTGTGGTCAGTAGTTGTGTGGTTGTGTTCAGTAGTTGTGGTCAGTAGTTGTGGTCATTAGTTGTGTGGTTCAGTAATTTTGTGTTCAGTAGTTGTGGTCAGTAGTTTTGTGGTTGTGGTCAGTAGTTTTGGTCAGTAGTTGTGGTCATTAGTTGTGGTCATTAGTGGTCAGTAGTTTTGGTCAGTAGTTTTGGTAAGTAGTTGTGTGGTTCATTAGTTGTGGTCAGTAGTTGTGAACTTCAAAACATGATGTATTATTATTGGAATTTGCAGATGTTGGTAAGTAATGAATCTGCTAGCTTCTGACATGACTTACTGCTTCTTTAATTAAAGCAGTTGATGGGTTACTAAAACAGCTCTGTCTCTTGGTAGAAGTTATTCATGTTCTGCTTTCAGATTTGAAAATCAGAGAAGTAGAGGAAGATGCCATATACTTTCACTTTTTGTCTAACTTGTTGGGAAAGTGTTAAAAATATCAGTTGTTTATAAAACCTTGATATTAGATTAAGATATTTTTGTTCAAACGCCAGATTTGAATAGCAGAGACGTAGACAAAGATTTCATACACTAACTTTTTGTCTAAGTTGTTGCAGTGGTCAAAGTAGCTGACTTGTGTCAAAAGTTGCATTGTTGCATTTACAGTAAATGGAATGTTGGAAGTGATAATGTTACAATGGGGCCTTTTAGAATCTTGAGGAAATGCCATGAAAGTGAATGAAGATGGACAAAAAGAAGGACAAAAAGTTTAATCATTTAAAAAAGTATATTTTTTAAAAGTTGTATACAAGCACATTATTCCAGACCGATCAGCACGTTTTAAAGTTTGAATGACGTTTTTAGCTTAAACGGTGTAGGAGGAGTAACGTTCCAAATAATAATAAGAAGAAGAAGTACGACGAAGACTTAGAATGGGACATTTGCTTTGAAAGTCCCATTAAAAAGTCAGAAGTAAGAGGAACATTTAAAGTTGGGACTTTTGCTTCGCAAGTCCCACCTAATAATAATAATAATACATTAAAAGTTAAATATATTAAAATATTGGGTCTGATTACTTTGATAGACTACTACACTGAGTGTACAAAACATTAGGAACACCTTCCTAATATTGAGTTGCACCCCGTTTTGCCCTCAGAACAGCCTCAATTTGTCGGGGCATGGACTCTACAAGGTGTCGAAAGCGTTCCACAGGGATGCTGGCCCATGTTCACTCCACAGTTTTGTCAAATTGGCTCAATGTCCTTTGGGTGGTGGACCATTCTTGATATACACGGGAAACTGTTGAGCGTGAAAAACCCAGCAGCATTGCAGTTCTTGACACACTCAAACCGGTGCGCCTGGCACCTACAACCATACCCCATCCAAATGCATTTAAACATTTTGTCTTGCCAATTTATCCTCTGAATTGCACACACAATCCATGTCTCATTTGTCTCAAGGCTTAAAAATCCTTCTTTAACCTGTCTCCTCCCCTTCATCTACACTGATTGAAGTGGATTTAACAGGTGATATCAATCAATCATCAATCAATCAATTTTATTTTATATAGCCCTTCGTACATCAGCTAATATCTCGAAGTGCTGTACAGAAACCCAGCCTAAAACCCCAAACAGCTAGTAATGCAGGTGTAGAGGGATCATAGCTTTCACCTGGATTCACCTGGTCAGTCTATGTCATGATGTTCCTAATGTTTAGTACACTCAGTGTATATCAACCTTATTACTTTGGATTGTTATTGCAGTTGGATCACATACCTTATTGCAGTTGGATCACATATTTCACTGTGGGTAACAATGGGCAACAACGGTGCTGGAGGGAATAACTACAGTTTTAACGGCTCCTGACCAATTCTCCTATTTTGTGTGTTTTTTTGCGCTGATCCTAAAAAGATTAGTACATAATGTTTCCGCCATCATTTCCTATGACCGAATACAGCTGCTGGGCATCAGAACAGTGATCACTAACCTCGATTTGGATGAGGATTTCTACTTCAATGAGTTAGAGGTAAATTACATCCTGCTCTTCCCGGACCAGGCCAAAATCCCCGATACTCGAAGGAGGAAGAGGCCATGTTATAGAGGCTGGCAAGTGGATAAACCGCCTCTACCCTCTGTTCTATTGGCAAACGTGCAATCACTGGAGAATAAACTGGACGAGCTCCGTTTGAGACTATCCTATCAACGTGATCTGAAGAACTGTAACATCCTATGTTTCTCAGAGTCGTGGCTGAACCAGGACATGGAAAATCTAGGTGTTTTTTTCTATTAATCGGCAGGACAGAACGGCAGTGTCGGGCATACTCAGGGGGTGGGGTGATGTGTGTCTCTTTGGTAACAACAGCTGGTGCGCAATCTCTAATATTAAGGAAGTCTTAAGGTTCTGCTCGAGTTAGAATACATCATGATTAGTTGTAGACCATACTATTTACCAAGAGAGTTTTCATCTACTTTTTTTGTAGCTGTCTACTTACCACCACAAACTGATGCTGGCACTCAATGAGCTGTATAGGGCCAAATATAAACAAGAAAATGCTCACAAAGAGGCGGCATTCCTAGTGGCCGGTGATTTTAATGCAGGAAAACTGAAATCCGTCTTACCTCATTCCTATCAGCATGTCACCTTGTGCAACTAAAGGTGAAAAAACTCCAGATCACCTTTACTCCACACACCGAGACACATACAAAACTCTCCCCTCCATTTGGAAAATCTGACCATAACTCTTTCCTGCTTATTCCTACTTACAAGCAAAAACTCAAACAAGATGTACCAGTGACACACACGCTCAATACAGAAGTGGTCAGATGAAACGGATGCTAAGCTACATGACTGTTTTGCTAGCACAGACTGGAATATGTTCTGGGATTCATCCGATGGCATTGAGGAGTTTACCACATCAGTCACCGGCTTCATTAATAAGTGCATCGACGACGACGTCCCCACAGTGACCATACGTACATATCCCAACCAGAAGCCATTAATTAAAGGCAACATCCACACTGAGCTAAAGGCTAGAGCTGCCGCTTTCAAGGAGCAAGACACAAATCCGGATGGTTATAAGAAATCCCGCTACGCCCTCCGACGAACCATCAAAATCAAAATGTTTCAATACAGGACTAATATTGTATCCTATAGCTCTGACGCTGGTCGGATGTGGCAGGGCTTGCAAAATATCACGGATTACAAAAGGAAACCCAGCTTTGAGCTGCCCAGTGATGCGAGCCTACCAGACGAGCTAAATGCCTTCTATGCTCGCTTCGAGCCTAGCAACACTGAACCATGCATGAGAGCACCAGCTGTTCCGGACGACTGTGTGATCATTCTCTCCATAGCCGATGCGATTAAGACCTGTTAACAAGTTAACATTCACAAGGCCACAGGGCCAGACGGATTACCAGGACGCGTCATGGCTCACATTAAAACCATCATCCCAGACACCCTGGACGCACTCCAATTCGCATACCGCCCCAACAGATCCACAGATGACCCAATCTCTATTGTACTCCACACTGCCCTTTCCTACCTGGCCAAAAGGAACACCTACATGAGAATGCTGTTCATTGACTACATCTCAGCCTTCAACACCATAGCGCCCTGCAAGCTCATAACTAAGCTAAACACCCTGGGACTGAACACCTCCCTCTGCAACCGGATCCTGGACTTCCTGAAGGGCCGCCCCCAGGTGGTAAGGGTAGGCAACAACACATCCGCCACACTGACCCTCAACACGGGGGCCTCAGAGGTGAGTTCTTAGTCCCCTCCTGTTCACCCACGACAGCATGACCGCGCACGACTCCAACACCATCATTACGTTTGCTGACAATACAACTGTGGTTGGCCTGATCACCGACAACGATGAGACAGCCTATAAGGAGGACCTCTCCCTCAACTTCAGCAAGACAAAGGAGCTGATTGTGGACTGCAGGAAATGGAGGGCAGAGCACGCCCCCATTCACATTGATGGGGCTGTAGGGGAGTGGGTCGAGAGCTTCACGTTCCTTGGTGTCCACATCACTAAGGACCTATCATGGTCCAAACACACCAACACAGTTGTGAAGAGGGCACGACAACGCCTCTTCCCCCTCAGGAGGCTGAAAAGATTTGTCATGGGTCCTCAGATCCTCAAAAAGTTCTACAGCTGCACCATCGAGAGCATCCTGACTGGTTGCATCACCACCTGGTATGGCAACTGCTCGGCCTCCGACCGCAAGGTACGATAGAGGGTAATATACATCACTGGGGCCAAGCTTCCTGCCATCCAGGACCTCTATACCAGGCGTTGTCCGAGGAAGACCCTAAAAATGGTCAAAGACTCCAGCCACCCAAGTCATAGACTGTTCTCTCTGCTACCGCACGGCAAGCGGTACCGGAGCGCCAAGTTTGTGACCAATAGGCTCCTGAACAACTTCTACCCCCAAGCCATAAGTCTGTTGAACAGTTAATCAAATGGCCACCTGGACTATTTGCATTGACCCCCTTTTTATTTGCACTGACTCTCTTGCACCGGCTCTATGCACACTAACTGACACTCCAACACACACTCTCACACGCAAAACTCACATGCATATTGACACCACACACTGCTTTATTATCTATCCTGATTGACTAGTCACGTTTACCCCTACCTACATGTACATATTACCTCAACTACTTCGTACCCCTGCACATTGACTCGGTATCGGTACTCCTACTATATAGTCTCGTTAATGTTATTGTGTTACTATTTCCTTTTGAATTGATTGCTACATTTTCTTACTTTTTAACTCGTTGTTGGCTCAAAACTAAGCATTTCACGATAAAGTCTTCACCTGTTTTGTTAGGTGCATGTAACAAATACAATTTGATTACTACACTTTTATACACTCTTACTAGGAAACCATAGGATATGCAAACTGTAATAATTACTCATAAGGAATTAGAAAAGTTTTAGGCTATCATTTGGGGAGAGAAATATGATGGTGCCTCTAGTTTAGATTTTTTTTTTGCTATAGTAACTTCCCTTTAACCATACATTTATTTCTTAATCAAATGATAAAGCTGTTAAAAGAAAGTTATTACTGGATTGAATAGATCAATAAATAGGATATATAAATAAGGTAAGGACACAGGATGAAATACCTAATGGATGTATCACGTTTAGGAGAAGACCCAGATGCAGACAGTGTCAAAGTAACAAAAGTTTATTACAAAAACAGGGGGCAGACAAACGACAGGTCAAGGGCAGGCAGAGGTCAGTAATCCAGATCAGAGTCCAAAAGGTTCAGAACGGCAGGCAGTCTCAGGGTCAGGGCAGGCAGAGGTCAATAATCCAGGGTGGTGTGACAAGGTACAGAACGTCAGGCAGGCTCAGGGTCAGGGCAGGCAGAATGGTCAAAACCGGGAAAACTTGAAAACAGGAACTTGAAAACGACAGGAGCAAGGGGAAAACCGCTGGTAGGCTTGACAAAACAAAACGAACTGGCAACAGACAAATAGAGAACACAGGTATAAATACACTGGGGGTTATGGGGAAGATGGGCGACACCTGGAAGGGGGTGGAGACAATCACAAAGACAGGTGAAACAGATCAGGGTGTGACAGGATGGAGGGATGAAGGGATGAATGCAAAGATAAAAGGAAGTTATGTAATTGTCACGCCCTGGCTCTGGGGACACTGTTATGTTGAGCCAGGGTGTGTAGATCAATGTGTTTTTGTTTTCTATGGGTGCTATTTCTATGTTGGCCAGAGTGGCTCCCAATCAGAGGCAACGAGTGTCAGGTGTTGCTGGCTGTCTCTGATTGGGAGCCATATTTATACAGTCTGTTTTTCATTCGTGTTGGTGGGATTTTGTTTCTAGTCTGTTTATGGTAGACCGTGAACTGTCACGTATCGTTTGTTGTTTTGATCGTGTCTCTTAATAAAGAGTATGTTTGCCTGCAACGCTGCGCCTTGGTCCTCATCTGTTCCTGATGATCGTGACAGAAAATCCCACCCACAACTGGACCAAGCAGCGAGTCGAGGAGCCATCGCCAGGGAAATCCCTAGCAGATCTCCGTGGCAGCCTCGACTGGGTCAAGCCGAGTGAAGAGCAGAGAGAGTGGACTTGGGAACAATGGAGGAAGAGCTTCGACTGGGTCAAGCCAATTGAGGAGCTGAATAGCGGGAGTTGGAGGCAGAAGAGCGAGAGTTGGGCGAGAACTGTAGAGGCCTGGCCCACGGGGAGGAGAGACCCCCAGAACATTTTTAGGGGGGGGCTCACGACGTCGGGGCAGCAGGAGGCCGCGATAGAGCGGTCCAGCGGGTTGGCAGAGGAGGCTGCCAGGTTACGGGGGCCACTGGTAGAAGAGGGGATGGAAGGTGTAGAGGCACGGCGTGAGGTACTGGGGTGTGTTACCAGTCCGGTCCGGCCCGTTCCAGATCCCGGTGTAGGGCCAGTGGTGTGTGTCCCCAGTACGGTCCGGTCTGTTCCTGCTCCCCGCACCAAGTCAGTGGTGCGCTTCGTCAGCCCGGCTCGGCCCGTTCCTGCCCCCCGCACCAAGTCAATGGTGCGCTTCGTCAGTCCGGCTCGGCCCGTTCCTGCTCCCCGCACCAAGTCAGTGGTGCGCTTCGTCAGCCCGGCTCGGCCCGTTCCTGCTCCCCGCACCAAGTCAGTGGTGCGCTTCATCAGCCCGGCTCGGCCCGTTCCTGCTCCCCGCACCAAGTCAGTGGTGCACTTCGTCAGCCCGGCTCGGCCCGTTCCTGCTCCCCGCACCAAGTCAGTGGTGCGCTTCGTCAGCCCGGCTCGGCCCGTTCCTGCTCCCCGCATCAAGTCAGTGGTGCGCTTCGTCAGCCCGGCTCGGCCCGTTCCTGCTCCCCGCACCAAGTCAGTGGTGCGCTTCGTCAGCCCGGCTCGGCCCGTTCCTGCTCCCCGCACCAAGTCAGTGGTGCGTTTCGTCAGCCCGGTTCGGCTCACTCCTGCTCCTCACACCAAGCCAGTGGTGTGCGTTGTCAGTCCAGCACGGCCCGTGCCTGTTCTCCACACCAAGCCAGTGGTGGGCGTCGTCAGTCCGGCACGGCCCGTGCCTGTTCCACTGGTGCCTGGTTCGGCACTGGTCAGATGTTTTACGCCGGAGCTAGAGCAATCCGCTCCATCAGTGTGCAGTCCAGCTCCGGCCAGCGGGGCCAGACCGGACCAGGGGTACTTTGGGGGGTTGGAGAGGGAGCGGGGATCAGGCCCGGAGCCGGATCCGCCGCCTAAGCGGAGTGCCCACCCGGTCCCTCCCCTGTGGTATTTGGTTGACGCGGTCGGAGTCCGCGCCTTTAGGGGGGGGTACTGTCACGCCCTGGCTCTGGGGACACTGTTATGTTGAGCCAGGGTGTGTAGATCAATGTGTTTTTGTTTTCTATGGGTGCTATTTCTATGTTGGCCAGAGTGGCTCCCAATCAGAGGCAACGAGTGTCAGGTGTTGCTGGCTGTCTCTGATTGGGAGCCATATTTATACAGTCTGTTTTTCATTCGTGTTGGTGGGATTTTGTTTCTAGTCTGTTTATGGTAGACCGTGAACTGTCACGTATCGTTTGTTGTTTTGATCGTGTCTCTTAATAAAGAGTATGTTTGCCTGCAACGCTGCGCCTTGGTCCTCATCTGTTCCTGATGATCGTGACAGTAATATGGATGAAAGGACATTTTCGGTCGAATGAGAGTTGTGAATGTGTTGTGTAAGTCAGTATGTCTTGCTTTACTCCACACAAATAATTTTTGAAATCATACTTCCATGTTCTAGTCAAAGAATTGTAGAAATTGGTGGATGGCGAGCACAGAACTGCACATCAACGCTCCCACCTGGATGGGAGTTTACTAATGTACAAGGCAGCCTACAGACCAATACTTAAGGTAAACGATAACTACATGTAGACAAACTGTGGTAGGTTAGTTTAGTGGATTGGAGTGAGCTGTGTGGCGTAGTAAAAACCAATTTATGCTTGATCCGTATTGTGGTCCGGAGGCTCCGTACAGAGGGTGTGATGCAATTGCAAAGCCTCCGGAGGCTTGTGGAGGCCAAATCAAGCTCCGTACCGCATGGCGTCTCCCAAATGTTGGTACAATGCATAGGGCTCCGTATAGCTCTGCATTGACATAATTGGTTGACGGTAGGTGGGGGCGGGAGGTCCTGTATAAACACAAACTCACTTCCTTGACAACAGTTCTGCTACGCGAAGCGCAAGAAGTATGAATGCCCTGACTTTTGCAGAGGCTGTATCGCCGTAAATGCTGTACGGCTAATGCAGACCTTGGATTGACCATGCAGAGCCTTTAAGTCTTATGTGCGCCCCCCATGTTATAATTTGAAAGTTCTGAAAAGTTCCATGGCAGTTAATTCAACAGTTGGAAGTTAGCTAAAACTAAAACAGCTGTACCTCCTGATTGGTAGTAGACAATTATATTCTGATTTCAGATTTGAATAGCAGAGAAGTAGACCAAGATGTCATACCCTATACGTTTTTGTCTAAAGTGCTGGGTAAGTGGTAGAAATGTCAGTGGTTTATAAAAGGTTTGAGAACATTTTGTTGATGCGGTTACTAAAACCAGCTGTAACGTTTGATCGGTACCAGATAATTATATTCTGATTTCAGATTTGAATAGCAGGGATATAAACCAATATGTCATACCATCTAACTTTTTGTCTAACTTGTTGGGAAAGTGGTCAAAGTAGTTGATTTGTGTCAAAAGTTGAATTTTTGCATTCACAGTGAATAGAATGCTGGAAGTCATGATGTCACAATGGAAGCTTTAGAATATTGAAGAATCCCATGAAAGTGGATGAAGTTTAATAAAAGTTTAATTATAAATAGTATCAAAAAGTTATATGCAAGCACACTATTCTAGACCAGTCTGCATGTTTTAAAGTTTGATATGGTGTTTCTAAGAGGAGTAGCATGCTAAAGAATAAGAAGACCTATAACAATAATAAAAAGTCTGAAATAATTTGTACAATATTTAAAGTGTGGCTGCTTTCGCAAGTCACATTAATAAGAAGTATGAAGAAGATTTAAAGTGAGGACTCTTGCTGAGCAACCCCCACTAATAAGTACAATATTTAAAGTGTGACTGCTGAGCAAGACACATTAAGTAAAATGGTTGAATATAGATTTAAACTGATAAAAGACAAAGCTTCTGTTCATCAGTAGAAGTAAAGTTAGCTAGCTAACCATTGCGTGTTTCCATAGTTACCGTAACTTGACGAAGGACCCTCAACCGTTGGCCAATCGTGTCGCAGCGTATGGGAACGCCTCCCTGCTCCTGTCGCCATTCAGCTACCAATTCTGTACTGGGCTCTCATTGGATGTTTACCACGTCCTTCGACCGCTGAGGCCCAATCAGAAGGTGGTATTCTTCAACCCCAATTTCTTGCTTCAGCTGAGCAGGAAGTGGAAAGGGCGGGGCTTAAAAGAGCCACGCCTCACCTCTGGGCTGATGCTGGCTAGTGTGGCCATGGAACTCTGCGAAGAGGTAGGGGTGTGTGTGTGAGTGAGTGTGTGTGTGTGCGTATGTGTGTTGTGTGGCAGGTAGCTTAGTGGGTAAGAGCGTTGTGCCAGTAACCGAAAGGTCGCTGGTTCTAATCCCCGAGCCGACTAGGTGAAAAATCTGTCGATGTGCCCTTGAGCAAGGCACTTAACCCTAATTGCTCCTGTAAGTCGCTCTGGATAAGAGCGTCTGCTAAATGACTAAAATGTAAAAATGTAAATGTGTGTGTGTCTAAGTCTCTATCTCTCTCTGTCAGGTTCATCTTTACGGCTTCTGGCCCTTCCCTTTGGATCTATACCACAATCCTTTGCCCCATCATTACTATGACAACGTGGGCCCTAAGAAAGGCGTCCACTCCATGCCTGATGAGTTCCTACTGATGCTGCAGCTACACACACAGGGAGTGCTGCAACTACACCTGGGCCGCTGCTGAACACACACACAAACACACTCCTTTATTGTTGAGAGTTTTATGTTGATTTTTATTATTATTATTGTCATAATATCAGAATGTCTCTCCCTCTCTCTTGTTCCCTCTGTCTGGCTTTGTCTGTCTACTGATGGTATATGGAATGTATATATTGTATTTTGGCCATAAGCCAAAACACACATTTATCTGTTGCAGGGATTTACCACCCATCCGCTGTCCAGGCGGATGCGTTTGGTACTATTTGAAAGTATTTAAAACATTTTCTGTCATCTGAATTAGTAGTTTTAGGGGATTTTGACTCAATTTGGCTTACCCCGGCCTCAGACCATTTTAAGAAAATTTGTCTTGACTTTAACCTGACTCAACTGACTGCAAAACCCACACAGAATAATGTAAAAAATCCAGCAGATGTCTCACTGATTGACCCAAAAATAGCCCCCACAAGGTCCAGTGGTGTCTTTGCTAATGATCTCAGTGATCACTGTCCTATTGCATGTTTTAGAGATACCAAACAGATTAACACTGATCCTTGTATAATTATGAATAAACTTTTTTATTTACAAGCTTTTCATCATGATATGTATTCATCTGACTGTTCCTCTATCAGCTGCATGCCTAAACCTGAATTAGCTCTAGAACTGTTTTCATCTATTTGTATCTCTCTGGCAAACAAACATGCTCCCTTTAAACGTCTTACAGTAAAAAATAGAACAAATTCTTGGTTCTCTATAGAACTTTCAGATCTTGTTATGATGAGAACGCAGGCCTGGGCCAAGGCTAGAAAAACAGACTCTCTAGCTGATTGGCAGCATTTCAGGCAATTTGGAAATAGATGTACTTCCTCAATCAAGTATTCAGACCCTTTACTCGCTACTTTGTTGAAGCTCCTTTGGCAGCGATTACAGCCTTGTGTCTTCTTGTGTATGACGCTACAAGCTGGGCACACTTGTATTTGGGGAGTTTCTCCCATTCTTCTCTGCAGATCCTCTTTGGCCAGGTGGCCAGCTCTAGGAAGAGTCTGTGTGGTTCCAAACCACTTCCATTTAAGAAAGATGGAGGCCACTGTGTTCTTGGGGACCTTCAATGCTGCAGAAATGTTTTGGTACCCTTCCCCAGATCTGTGCCTCGACACAATCTTGTCTTGGAGCTCTACGGACAATTCCTCGACCTCATGGCTTGGTTTTTACTTTGACATGCACTGTCAACTGTGGGACCTTATATAGACAGGTGTGTGCCTTTCCAAATCATGTCCAATTTATTGAATTTACCACAGGTGGACTCCAATCAAGTTGTAGAAACATCTCAAGGATGATCATTGTAAACAGGATGTACCTGAGCTCGATTTGGAGTCTCATAGCAACGGGTCTGAATACTTATGTAAATAAGGTATTTTTTTTATTATTTTTTTTTATACATTTGCAAACATTTCTAAAAACCTGTTCTCGCTTTGTCATTATGGGGTATTGTGTGTAGATTGATGAGGTTTTTAAAAAATGTAATCAATTTTAGAATAAGGCTGAAACGTAACAAAATGTGGAAAAAGTCAAGGGGTCTGAATACTTTCCGATTGCACTGTAAGTGATGCTTTCAATCAGCATTTTATCATGGCAGGCTTTTTATTTGAAAGAAAACTGTGGTTTAGCTGACCCTGGTCAGTCAATCGACTGCTCTTCCCTCTCCCAGCCTCTAGTTGGGCTCGATGGAAGTTCTGTCAACTTCTAGTGAGTCTTTGTTTTCATTTCAACAATTTTCTACTTATGTGCTAGATGCCTTGTGCAAAATGTATGTAAAAAAAACAACAACTGGGGCTAATTTGCTTGATCCTTTCTTGCTGCAGCTTTCTGCTTCTCTGATTGTAGAATCTTGAACACATATATTTTTTTATCTTACAATTATTTCTGATACCATCCCCAGTGTCTGGAAGGTGGCCCATATACTCCCCCTTCACAAAGGTGGTGACCCGTGTGACCGAAATAATTATCGCCCCATTTCCAAACTCTCTTGCCTAGCAAGTTAGAATCCTTGGTAAATACTCTACTTAGATCCTTTTTAACTACAAAATGTATTCTTAATGTACACCAGTCAGTTTGGATAAGAAGAAACACTGTGTGGCCCTTTTTATTGACCTGCCTAAAGCCTTCGACACTGTGGATCACCCATTACTTATTCAGTGGCTTTCATCAATTGTCCTGGACCAGGCTGCGTGTAGCTGGTATAAAAAGTATTTAAAGGACAGAACGCAGTGTGTATTTACTGATGGTGTTCAATCTGGTTTTCTGGACATAACAAAGGGTGTCTCACAGGGATCTATTCTTGGTCCAGTTCTTTTCACTATTTACATTAATAATATTGGTTTATCTGTAAAAAAAAAAAAAAAAGTTTAACTTTTACCTGTATGCAGATTACACTGTGGTGTATGCAATTGCCCCAACAGCTGACCAGGCTCTGTCAGAGCTTCAATCTACCTTTATTGTCCTGCAGAACGCATTTGTTGAACTGAAATTGGTACTTAATGCAGGTAAAACCAAGTATATGTTATTTTCCAAATCACATGAAAATGTATCTGATGATTTATGCATACCAACTTTGGATGGTGCCCTCATTGATCGTGTCCTCATTTATAAATATCTGGGCATCTGGATTGACGAAAAGCTCTTTCAAAAAGCATGTTGATGAGTTAGCTAAGAAATTAAGAATTAAAATAGGCTTCTTCTATAGGAACAGGTTTTGTCTTTCGTTAAATAGCAGAAAACAAAGAATTCAGTCAACAGGTTATTGACTATGGCGATATTGTCTATATGAATGCAGCTGCCATTGTATTGAAGCTATTGGATGCAGTTTATCATAGCGCATTGCACTTTATTACGGGCGATATGTTAAGTACACATCATTGCATTTTGTATCAGAAATTAGGCTGACCCTCTTTGAAGTCTCGTAGATGTATGCATTGCGCTCTTTTTGTCAATAAAGGCCTCTTGCATAAACTTCCGCCATACCTTACCTCATTGTTAACCTTTAGATGTATAAGTTACCAGACCAGGGCTCAGAGATGGCTAACCCTGGAGATCCCTTCAATCTCCACCGAGTTAGGTAAATCTGCTTTTAGTTTTTTTGCACCTCATGTGGAATGATCTCCAAAACTCCTTAAAGTTGGTGGAGTTTTTTATTTATTTATTTATTTCACCTTTATTTAACCAGGTAAGCCAGTTGAGAACAAGTTCTCATTTACAACTGCGACCTGGCCAAGATAAAGCAAAGCAGTGCGATAAAAACAACAACAACACAGAGTTACACATGGGAATAAACAAAACGTACAGTCAATAACACAATAGAAAATCTATATACAGTGTGTGCAAATGTAGTAAGTTATGGAGGTAAGGCAATAAATAGGCCATAGTGCAAAATAATTACAATTTAGTATTAACACTGGAGTGATAGATGTGCAGAAGATGATGTGCAAATAGAGATACTGGGGTGCAAATGAACAAAATAAATAACAATGTAAATAACAATATGGGGATGAGGTAGTTGGGTGGGCTAATTACAGATGGGCTGTGTACAGGTGCAGTGATCGGTAAGCTGCTCTGACAACTGATGCTTAAAGTTAGTGAGGGAGATAAGTGTCTCCAGCTTCAGAGATTTTTGCAGTTCGTTCCAGTCATTTGCAGCAGAGAACTGGAAGGAATGGTGGCCAAAGGAGGTGTTGGCTTTAGGGATGACCAGTGAGATATACCTGCTGGAACGCATACTACGGGTGGGGGTTGCTATGGTGACCAATGATCTAAGATAAGGCGGGGATTTGCCTAGAAGTGATTTATAGATGACCTGGAGCCAGTGGGTTTGGCGACGAATATGTAGTGAGGGCCAGCCAACGAGAGCGTACAGGTCACAATGGTGGGTAGTATATGGGGCTTTGGTGACAAAACGGATGGCACTGTGATAGACTACATCCAATTTGCTGAGTAGAGTGTTGGAGGCTATTTTGTAAATGACATCGCCGAAGTCAAGAATCGGTAGGATAGTCAGTTTTACGAGGGCATGTTTAGCAGCATGAGTGAAGGAGGCTTTGTTTGCGAAATAGGAAGCCGATTCTAGATTTAACTTTGGATTGTAGATGCTTAATGTGAGTCTTGAAGGAGAGTTTACAGTCTAACCAGACACCTAGGTATTTGTAGTTGTCCACATATTCTAAGTCAGACCCGCCGAGAGTAGTGATCGGGCGGGCGGGTGCAAGCAGCGTTCGATTTAAGAGCATGCATTTAGTTTTACTAGCGTTTAAGAGCAGTTGGAGGCCATGGAAGGAGTGTTGTATGGCATTGAAGTTCGTTTGGAGGTTTGTTAACACAGTGTCCAATGAAGAGCCAGATGTATACAAAATGGTGTCGTCTGCGTAGAGGTGGATCTGAGAGTCACCAGCAGCAAGAGCGACATCATTGATATACACAGAGAATAGAGTCGGCCCGAGAATTGAACCCTGTGGCACCCCCATAGAGACTGCCAGAGGTCCAGACAACAGGCCCTCCGATTTGACACATTGAACTCTATCTGAGAAGTAGTTGGTGAATCAGGCGAGGCAGTCATTTGAGATACCAAGGCTATTTATTCTGCCAATAAGAATGCGGAGATTGACAGAGTCAAAAGCCTTAGCCAGGTCGATGAAAACGGCTGCACAGTACTGTCTTTTATCGATCGCGGTTATTATATTGTTTAGGATCTTGAGCGTGGCTGAGGTGCACCCATGACCAGCTCGGAAACCAGATTGCATAGCGAAGGTACGGTTGGATTCGAAATGGTCGGTGATCTGTTTGTTAACTTGGCTTTCAAATACTTTTGAAAGGCAGGGCAGGATGGATATGGGTCTGTAACAGTTTGGATCTAGTGTGTCACCCCCTTTGAAGAGGGGGATGACCGCGGCAGCTTTCCAATCTCTGGGGATCTCAGACGATACGAAAAAGAGAGGTTGAACAGGCTAGTAATAGGGGTTGCGACAATTTCGGCGGCTA